ATAGAACGGTTGAAAGGGTCTTCAAAGATCACCCCCATCCCCTCCCCAGGTCAGGCTGCCCAGGGCCTATCTGCAGCAGTGCCAGCACCTCACCACTCTGAATGAAACACTGACATCTAATCTAGATATCTCCCCTTTTTCATTTCAAGCCATTCCCCCTTGTCCTATCACTGTTCACCCATATAAAAATTTACTCTCCCTCATGTTTATGAGCTCTCTTTAAGGACTGGAGGGCCACAATGAGATCTTCCCAGCACCTTCTCTCCTCCAGGCTGAGTAAAGCCCACCTCCCTCAGCCTATCTTCGTAGGAGAGATCTGTAAGCAGGTCAGAGCCCCTGCACAGGAGGGGAGGGCTGGTTGTGCTAAGGACAGACACTGCACTTGCAACCTTTCCCCACTCCACAGCCCTTCCAACTCACACACAGGCCCCAGAGATGCAACATATTCACAATCTGTGCACTTAAAAACTTAGCTTAGAAAAACAGAAAGGCAAAATACTATTTTCTATCCCCCGTTATCAAGAGCCTAGGGCAGAATTATTCTGGCTCCTTTTCTAGGTTTCCATATTAACAAGCCTAACTAGCACTAGATGAAGAAAGCAAAATTTCCCTTCAGTATTCTAAGAAAAGCAGCATATGCCTTCCTGGCCACAAACATCAAAGCTGGGTTGGTTCAGGCATCAAATTTCAGATACGTTCGCATCTTTTCTTTAATCTTGATAGTAGGAGAATCAGTGCTAGCAAGCTGCAGCCCCGGCTGCTGATGTGCCTTCAGAGATAAGCAGCAGTTAGCCAAGCTCTCCTTACAAGCTGCCAGGTCTCTGCAGTGACACTGCCAGGCAGGGCAGTGTAAGTCAGGTACTCCCAATGCACTGCAGCAGCACAGGAGGAAAGGACAGAGATGCAGGCATGAAAAACATCCATCCCCCTTTTCCCATCCTCCTCTGTTTGATTGTCAGGGTATGGTTTTCTGGGTTTTGTCTGTTTGTTTCAAGATCTTCCTGCAAGGACAGGGGTTGAGTCAACTACATTCCAATGATCCCTCCTCTGGTAACACCTCACTCCCCTGTTCTCTTCCTTCTCCTCCCTCTTCAACTCTCTGGAGAAAAGTGGAACACAATGCCACAACCCTTCAAGCAAAGCTTAGGGGAAACCCCGACAGCAAGAGTTCTAATTCTCTGAACCTTCCTTTATTGGCTCAAGATGACCATTAAATAAAATAAATGCTTTTATCACTAACTCAAGTGCTTACAATTGTTTAAGTTTTTCCTAGTTAACATTTAGCTAAGAAACAAGGTAACAGTTCAAGTGAGCTATGCATTAACTCAAGGAATCTCTCTACCCTGACTGCTTGTATTCAACCATCAACCAACAAGGCAGCTCAGCAAGCAAGTCCACACAACACAAGGAAAGGCTTTAAACAAAATTTCCCCTGAGAGAAGGAAAAAAAAATACATAAAAGCACTTCTGAAAATGCTGGCAGAGATCAGCAAAGAAAACAGTCTCTCACACCACTTACATCAGACTTAAGATCCTCAGGGTCCTGTGGGAACTCAGTGGGAGCTGAGCAGGAATCAAAAACCCTGATCACTCTTGCCATCCAAGTAGTGTGAGCCTTCCTCTCACCCCACCACCAGGTCCCAAATGTCCTTAACTGGGATTTGAAACTTGCAGGACCAGTAAAGTGAGGAGGTGCAAGTTGTAAGTATTGATCCCATTGGTCACATTCACCCACTGTGCACCTGTAAGCCCAGGTGGAACCACTAATCAGAAAGAACATTGGGAACAGATGGGTTGTTTGCTTTCTTCAGCTGTTACAGTGTCTCATTTGAAACACCCCCTTCAAGGTTCCCTACCCCAAATGCCACAATCCAATGTAGCACTAACTAATTTTTTAAACATTTTTAAACTGTCATCTTTTATTTCCCTCTTGTCCCACTTACATGAAGGTGGGAAGTACACTCATCAGCATTTGTGACTGCACACCAAGTGCCTCAAGCACACTTGTATCAAGTATTTGTTTCCATAAACTATTCAGAGAACGCTTTCTACTCAAAACACAGTGCTGGAGGTGCCCTGTTAGCTTTCCATTCTCATAGGGATAAAAACCAGCAGGTGGCAGGTTGGCAGCTAAGGGAAAAGTGAACCTAGGCATAATATCAAATACTCCATTTGTACCACACCTCTGTGTCTGGACATACAAGCCACTGCACCACACACAAGGTGCAAGATGCAGGTGTCTCCATGCACTGGTCCCAAGTTGGGAACAACAAAAACCCACAAAACTGCAAGAGACCACCAGTATGCAGCATCACCTGCAGAACACAAAGCCATTCCTCCAGGAATACATATGATCAAGGTGAGCTTTTTCAAGCTGGCTTGTGCAAATCTGCACAATGAGCTTGCCTGGAAGCATAGCCACCACATGCTAAGCATGGTCAACTACCACTCATTTACACATCCTCACTGACACACAGAAACAGGTTCCTCAAGGGCTCTGAAACAGCTTCAGTTTCACTGGGACAAGAGAGCCCCTACAAGGACTTGAAATTAAGAGGTTGAAGTGGGAAATAACGAGCACATGAAAGGCACCTGTGAAGCACCAGCCCCAGTACAAAGCAGTGTAACATTTAACCCATTCCTAGACAGTTCTGAGAAAAGGTAATATTTTTCCCAGACTACCAAGTCTGAGCTATTCAAGTCAGTAGAGATAAAGTCTGCCCAAACAACTGCACAAATGCTGCACAGCTATGTGACTGGATAAAGTAACAAGTGGAACTCCACATAGACCAGCACAGCAGCGCACACAGGAATGAATAACCCCAACTTCAGTCAAGCAGCAGTGCCACTGCTGCCATCCAAAACCAAGAGCTTGGGTTATGACCTACACTCCCACCAGCCCAGCACTCAGAAGAAGCCAACCAAGTGCCAGCCAGAGCAAACACTGCTTCACCCTTACATAAAACGGAAATGTTCCTGACCCTGAACAGAACCAGCAGTTCTCCCCTCCTCGTGAGCTCAGACCCAGCTACTTCAGCTACTTCCCACTGCTTTCTCAGACCTTAGATCATCACAACTGCAATGATCTTCTCTGCTTTACCACACAGCAGCTTCATATCTTAAATCACAACTCGACTGTCCTTCATATCATATCTTTAAGTAATTTTGAAGATCAAGCAGAAAATAGCTTGCCAGTCTGACAACAGCCATTCAGAATGCTTACACAGTTAGAAATGTTTAATATCAAAGGGGCAGAAGGTTGGACTAATTGACCATAGCTCAATTAAGAGCTGACTGGAAGCGTTCAGTAAGCACTTTTCTATCAGATACATACTTGATTTCAAGGTGAGTCAGGAAAACCCAGCTCCCCAAGATGTTATCCCCAAGATAGAGGGGAACAAAGAGGGTACCACCCAGATCAGAACACAAAGGAAACAGCAAGCAGAGCAGATCAAACACAAAGCAGCATCTCCCATTAACTTCACTTCTCAGCACTCACAGCCCAACAGACACCCAGCCTAGAAATCAAACTCACCACAATCAGCAACCCAGCACATCAGCCTCTAACAGAGCAAATGCAGTTTTTTTGGTTGTTTTTTTCTGTTCATAAAAATGTCATACTGAAATCATCTGGATAACTACCTGGCTACCTTTCTGCCTGCGTGGCCAAAGGGACAGAAATATTAAGGCTCAGCAAATAGAACAGCCACATACAAAGCCCAAACACATGTGCCAAAGCTTTACTGATTACTTTTAATGAAACTTGGGACTCACCTGGTGCAGAAACCAAGATCTGGCATCGGGTAAGGATGGCCAGGAGAAAGTCATTGTGTGAGTGGACTGCATGAAGACAGACAGCTCATTAGGAACATGTTAGTGGTCACAGGCACCAGCTCAAAGTAGGTTTCACAGCTATGTTTTCAGCATTCACTTAGCTAAAAGCCACAACTTCTAATATAAAGGTTTTTTTTAAGAGGTTTTTGGTTTTTTCCTCTTCACTTAGCCCTGAACCTGCTACTAGAAAGAATACCACACAGCACAGGTGCAAGCCGGATTGCTTCTCAGCGTGCCATGCACCAATCCAGCCCTAGAGCAGCTGCATGGCAGGTCAGGTGCACTCAGCCAGCAACAAGGAGGCCTGGCTGTCCTCCCTCCCATGGCCGGGAGGGTTTCTCACAGCGGAGCTTTGGGTTTGCTTTAAAAAAAAGCAAAAGTTAAAATAAAGGAGAGCCAGCACTAAATGTGGAGTACTTGGTACTGCAGAGACTGTTGGAGCATGTCCAGAAGGCCAGAGAAACGACCCAAGGGATGGAACATCTCCAAGGAGGGGCTGAGAGCTGGGGCTGCTCAGCACGGAGAGGAGAAGGCCATGTGGAGACCTGAGAGCGGCCTGCTGGTATCTACAGTGGGGCTGTAGGAAAGACGGGACAGACTCTTTAGCGAGGCCTGCTGCGACAGGACAAAGGAATGTGGTTTCAAACTGAAAGAAGGGAGGTGTGAGTTAGATCTAAGGAAGAGGTGTTCTGCTGGGAGAGCAGCGGCACAGGCTGCCCGCCGTGCCCCGTCCCTGCAGACATCGAGCTCGGGCTGGATGGGCTCTGACCCACCAACGAGGAGAGCCGCGCTGAGGCGGGCTGCCCCCCCGAGGCCCGCCGTTACCGTTGTCCTGCGTGAGCAGCCGCCGCGCCTCCAGGTCGAACTCCTCCTTGCTGATCTTCTGCTTGAACCACAGCTTCAGGTTGGCCCAGTACCTGCGGGAGAGAGGGGCGGTGCTGTGACGGCGTCGCCGCGGGCGAGGCCGAGGCTCGGGGCCGCGAGGTGAGATGCCGCTCACTGCTTCACGTTCTCGCCCAGCGCCTCGCTCAGGCTCTTCTTGGCCGCCTCCAGCTCGCTCACGTACGTCGCCATCGCCGCGGAGCACGGGGGCGCGGAGGCCGCGAAGCGCCGTAAAGCGCGGCGCTCCGTTACGTCAGGGGAGGGGCGGCGGATGCGCGCAGGCGCGGAGGCCACGCCCCCTCCGCCCCGAGCCGAGCCGAGCGGAGCCGAAAGGAGGCGAACGGGTGCCGAGCGGTCCGCTGCTCCCCACCATGCCGGGCCTGCTGCTGGGCGACGAGGCGCCCGACTTCGAGGCGGACACCACGCAGGGCCGCATCCGCTTCCACGACTTCCTGGGCGACTCGTGAGCAGCGGGGACGCGGCCAGGGCGGGAGCACGGCGGCGGAGCGGGGGGCTCCGGGCGGGGCGGCGGCGGGCCCGGGCTTCCTGAGCGGCACGGAGGTCCGGCCGCGCGTCGGCGACCTGCGCAGCGAGCCGCGGCTCCGGGACGCGGAGGCGCCGGGCGGACCCGAGCCCGCTCGGTTCGCTTCCCGAAATGGGACCGGGGTGGGGCGGGGAGCTCTCAGCTGCAGCGAAACGATGAAATCGGGCTTCGGAACCGATAGCCTCGTCCTCACGCCATCCCCTGCTCTCCGCTTGCAGATGGGGCATCCTCTTCTCCCATCCGCGGGACTTCACGCCCGTCTGCACCACGGAGCTGGGCCGGGCGGCCAAGCTGGCACCCGAGTTCAGCAAACGCAACGTGAAGATGATCGCCCTCTCCATTGACAGCGTCCCCGACCACCTCGCCTGGAGCAAGGTAGGGGTGCCTGGAGCGAGGTAGGGGTGCCTGGAGCGAGGTAGGGGTGCCTGGCAGCACTGCGGCTGTGCTCTGAAAGCCAAAAGTTCAGTCATGGGAGAGCTGTGAGCTGCAGCTCTGTGGCAGTGCCAGAAGCTGAGGGGATGTGTTAAAACAGGAAAGATGTCAGCGTTGGTGGCTGGGCTTAGTGGTCCCTTTAATCTCTGTGGCTCTGTGATTCTAAGCAAACAGGCAGTCTTGAAAGGGTGCGTGCAGCTCGTAGAATCAATCTTAGAACCCTTAGAGCTGGAAGGGATCGGGTTGCCCAGGGCGTTATCCAGCCTCACCTTGGAGTGGGGCACCAACCACATCGCTGGGGCCACCACATCGCCTGTGTCCAGGCAGAGGAAAGTACACAAAGAACAAGCAGTGACACGTTGAATATGTAAGTACAAATAAGAACACGTTAAATATGAAACAGTCACAGGGAAATAAAAGAAAGGTGGCACAGAAATAGCTTATGTAAAGAATAGAAAAGCTGCTCATGGAAAACTTCAAAGGCAGTGTCAACAATGGTGCGCTGCCAGGTAGCGTGACTCCACATATTAGTGGTATGAAATGAGTACTGAGACTTAGTGGCCAGAGTACAGGAATCCCTGAGTGAGTTATCTGCTTCTTTCTTTACTCTTAAAAGTGGGAATGTTCTGTCACGTTTTCCAGGAGTCAGATGTATGCAAATAAGAAGTAATAAGGGTGAGAAATTTCCACATTCAGACATTACTTCATGTCTGAATGGCTTTAGAAATTGCCTAATTGCCTTATTGCTTAAATTGACCTTTGTGCCTGAGTGGTGCATAGCTGATGTCCCACCAAGCCTCAGAAGGCCCTAGGAAAAACAGCAGAAAAATCCCACACCAGTAACTGAGATCTTTGCACTGGTCAAACTGGCTGAAACCACTATCAAATTAGCAGATAACGTTCCACTAAATAGAACAGAAAGTTTGGGTTTTGTTTTGTAAAGGAGTCTTGTCTCCTGGTTTGTTAGAACCCTTTGAAGAACTGTACAGATGATGCTGACTATTACAAAGCCTTGGACTTTCCAGGAAGCTTTTCAAGGAAATCAGCTCCAAAAAGGATTTATTATGTAGGGTGATAGGGTGAAACAGTAAGTTGTGTCAAGGAAGGGAAGCAGTGAGCTCCCTAGAGGGTCTGCAGGGATGCATGGCGTTCACCGTACTCAGATGATCTGGAAAAAAGGTGAACAGTGAACTGGCTTAGTAATGCTACAGAATTATTTAGCTTAACCTCAGGTAAAAGAAGTTGCAGAAAAGTTGCAAAACATGCTCATGGTGCTGACGAGATGAAGAATTTGGAAAAGCCTGAGGGCAATAGTCCAAGCTGCAGTTAATATGCTGCCAGGCTGGGAGAAGCCTCAGAGACAGTGATTTGGAAATGTCTGCTCAGCACCTGTTGAAAGAAAAACTTTGAAAGTCCTCTGGAGCAAAAGATCAAATTAGTGAGGATAAATCCATAGCAGACAGCTTTTGATGTGTTTGAAATTGCCCATCTCACAGATGAGGGAACAAAAAAAAGGTTAGAGGGGGAGCAAAGCTGCCTGAATGGAGATTTGAGCAGGTTTTCTTTCACTGCAGAGCAACTGGGGCTCTTTTGCATGGGAATGAGAAGATATGTCAGGCTGTGACACAGAGAGCTTAACTAAGTAGGAAGGGAGCTGTTCAGATCTGATGAAGTGCCCCCAGAGGTTCTGCCCACCCATGGAGCTTGAACAGAGATGCCATCCTTTGGTGGCAGGTGCAAAAGTAGTCTGCATTAACTACTAGACTAAAATCTAGAAACTGCAGTTTCCTTCACTAGATCTTAGAAATTCCAGGAATGAGCAAAACTTTGGGGATCTTAGAAATTCCAGGAATGAGCAAAACTTTGGGCAGTTAAACCTCTTCATGCAACGTCCTTCTAACTTCCTATACTCTCTCTGTGGATGAAGCTTCTTTCATCTGGAGTACTGCCCAGGGGAAAGCAAACAAGCAGGAGGGAAGGCTGAATTTTGCATGAAACAAGAAAGAAGCCTCTGCTTCTTTTGCTGCCAAATTTCAGTGGGTAGATAGGGCCTGGAAAGTTGATAAACCAGGCCGGTCAGCTCAACTGGCAGCAAAGAGCAATGCTGTAAAACAGCGTAGCCATAGCTGTCACACCACTTTGCCTAACTCTGCTTTCCCAGCCAAAGATGTCACTGCTCTTCTTAGTCATGCCTCTCCCAGACCCAGGGGCTTGCTCCTCTCATAACAAGCCTGTACCTCAGCCAGCAGTGAGGTCTGTCCCCCATGGTCTGTGTGCTGCTTCTCCAAGACCTGGCTGAATGGATGAATCCCTCAAGAAGGACTAACCATGGCATCTGCCCCTACAGCAGCAGGTCTGTGGCAGGCAGAGAGATGGTCATCCTCTGAGAAGCCAGTGTTTGTTGCAGGGTTGTCTGGCTTGTGCTGAGCATGTCAGAGGAGGTTTCAGCATTCTCTTAGGTCACTGATGAGTTACGTGAATAAATCACTCCAGTGATTTCTGCTTTCAGCTTGGACTCTGGAAGTTTTACAGGGAAGTGAGTAAGTCTTATGAGTCCTGTTGCAAAATAGGGTGGAGTGTATGAAGCTGTTTGTACAGTGATTTCCTGCGACATGATATTACGTGTGTTTTGAAATGAATTACAAGCTATAGGATTTGGATATTGCTTTTCAGCAATCTTCATCTGTCAGTCTCTACTCTGGAGAGAAGGTGCATGTTTGTCACGGTCTGGCTTTCCTCGACAGCCTCCTGTAGCTCCATGGGATGTTCAGAGATGGGCTGGTCTCTTGTCTTGGCTTTCCTTCCCTGCTCTGCTTTGACAGTGCAGCTCTGCAGGAGTAGGGAACCAGTTCCTTACCAAAGCAGGCCTGCACACAGCCCAACAGAGGTGAACAGCCCCTTTGTGCAGTTCACTGCTGACCCACTGGCCTGGTGAGAAAGCAACCAGAAAGAAACACTGCAAATGAAATATCCTGCCACGCGTGTACCACTTGACTGCTTGCAGCATCCCAAGCAGCTGGGGCAGCTCCTTACTGCACCTCCTGCAGTATGGGGGTGCTGAGGGCCAGCATGTGGCCTGTTTGCTCTCACTACCTTCAGCACACTGAGCAGGATTGGGCAGTGCTTAGGGCCACGTTTCCAACTCTGCCTTCCCTACATTCCACCTGAGCAGGACCCAGTCTGTTCCCCATGTTTAAAGCCCAGAGAAAACCGAAGTTTGCACATACGCAGCTGATACCATACCACTTTGGTGTGTGGGAGGCTGCTATAATTGCTGGAGTCCAGTTTGTTCCCCTGTAATATAAAGAGGACAGAAAGAACAGGTGGCTCTATTCTGGGGCAGAAACCTTGGTTTAAATTCGCTTTCATGCTGGCTGCTGCTCTGTTTGTGTTGCCTTGAGTGGGCTTTTCCCAGCCCTCCTGTGGCTCAGCACTTGTCCAAAAATAACTTGAATGTTTTGGCCAAAGCCAGATCAAATTCAGAGATGATCAAAATACAGTTTCTGTGTGAAGCACATCAAGTTAGGACTGGTACAGGGAGCAATCTCGTAAGCTGGTCGCAAGGAGAGTGTAGGCAGGTGATGGTTTACTTCCTCTGTTTCCAGGCACAGTTCAGAAAGACACACGTGGTGTCCCAACGCATGCACAGAGATTACACTCTGTTCTCAGGAACTGTTAAGTAAGCTAGGAGTGGCTTACTGAATGGAGCTGGTTCCTTGCTCAAGACCTGTCACATGTTCAGCATCTGAGCTTTGTTAGCTATAGAGTTGCTGACAGCTCTGCAGCTAGAACAACTGTTCCTTAGAAGCATGGTTCAGTTCAGGTGTAACTCCAGCACATTCATCAAAAGTCTGGAATCGCTGAACTGAAAGGGACACATCCATTTTCAGAGTAAGGTGGAAGAATCCCGTGTCACCAGTGGAGGCATGTTTGTGTGGCCCCTCTTAGCAGCCTGCTCTGGGTACACCAGGACTGCCTGTCTGGCAGACCCAGGTCAGATCACCTCCAATCCATGGTGGGAGCATAACCCTGAGCATTCCAATGATTTTGTCTCTGCAGGACATCAATGCATACAATGGAGATCAACCTGTGGAGAAGCTCCCCTTCCCCATCATTGCTGATAAGAACCGAGAGCTCGCCGTCAAGCTGGGCATGCTGGACCCGGATGAGCGGGACAAGGACGGCATGCCCCTGACTGCTCGTGTGGTGAGCTCCTGGCTTTAGAGCACTGTTGCCTGGCAGGCTGCTCAACAGCAGGCATCACCTGCCATCTTGCCCTGTGTCCCTGGGGGAGCAGCTTACCTGCACAGATAGGGAGCTAGGTGGACTTGCCTGGGCTAGATCCATGGGTATTGGAACAAGAAGAGGCTGGCACAGCCCTGGCCTGCTGGCATCAGCTCTGTCTTGCTGCTGGTGCCAATTCATCCTTGTGCCTGTCCAAACAGAGAGGGAACATTAAGTCCTTGATCTGCTGGGCTTTTCCTCTCCCCTCCTGTGCTTGTGTTAGAAGGACACAGGCCAGGATGAGGAAACTTCAAATAGCAAAACAAGATAGCATTAGAAACAGGAGTTCCTAGAGCAAACACTGTTCCACATGTCTGGGAATCGGTTTTTGCTCTAGGAATTACCCACCACGGCATCTCTACTGCCCCGAGCACCTCAGTCAAGCAGGACACCTCCCATTACCAGGAGTGGGAGGGCTGAGCAAATCCAGCAGGGCAGTGGGACAAACACCTTCTGCCTGGCCCCTGATGATGCCCCAGAAACATGACTGTCTCCCTGTGCTCAGGTGTTCATATTCGGCCCTGATAAGAAGCTGAAACTCTCCATCCTGTACCCAGCCACTACTGGGAGAAATTTTGATGAGATCCTGAGAGTGGTGGACTCACTGCAGCTGACAGCATACAAGAAGGTTGCTACCCCTGTGGACTGGAAGGTGAGAAGGGAAGCAGAACTTGTGTGCAGGGGAGGTAAAGGTGCATTGAAACATCTAACTGCTTCCTTTGGGAGTGACCCAGGGGTGGGGGGAGCTGCTGCAGTCCAGTTATATGAATTGGATGCTAGACAGGAGCCCCAAGGGCATTGCTGTGTGAGATCTCCCTTCCCTTCCTTCAGTTTTAGGTACCTGTAGATATAAGGCCTGGCCCTTCGGACTATCAGCATGTGAGCTCTGGGCCAAGGCACGTCTTGCCCTTGGAGGGCAAGATAAGGAAGAGCATTGCTGGTGTCAGCTGCCAGGCCAAGGTACACTGAGAGCCAAAATAACAGCTGGCATGAACACCCCTCCCTAGATAGCTTGCTGGTCTGCTCCCTTCAAGCAAAGAATGGCTGGAATGGGCACAGCCCTCACTGCATCCTAGCTACGTGGAAAATTACCAGATGTAATTCCCTAGTTGCTGCCATCCCTATGCAGCAACATTATTTCAAATTCCCAAGAATAGTTCAGGCAACCAAGCCGAAGCAATGCAGTGCAGCCTGCCTGCTTGAGCTAGCCAGCATTTTCCTTGGACCCCCAGAACTGCTCAGCTCTTGGATCTATACTGCTGGCTTTGGTGGCTGTCACCAAACAAACCTGCCTGTCTGTAGCCAGGGGGGACATTCCTACTAAGACAGGTGTCCCAGAAAAGGTGATCACAGGGTATTTCTACAAATACAAAAAGGAGAGCATGGAGGCAGCTTTGCCTCCAAAGACCCCAGGCTCCAGCCATGGTTTGGGGTCTGCTCATCCCCTCTACAATCCAGGGAAGCAAAGCTGGCTCATCAGAGAGGACCAGCACTACCTGCACATTGGCATTCGGGCTTTGGGATGGAAGAGCAGAGTGTGTGCCCTGCTGCAGTGCAGAGATCCTGTGCTGTGCAGCCCACCAGCATCCCTGCTGCTCTCACAGTTCCCATTTGCTCCTTAGTGTGGTGACAGCGTCATGGTTGTGCCCACCTTACCTGATGAAGAAGCCAAGAAGCTTTTCCCCAAAGGAGTCTTCACGAAGGATCTCCCATCAGGCAAGAAGTACCTGCGTTACACCCCACAGCCCGAGTGAGCAGCTTTGCCCACCCATGCTGTGAGCATGGTCCTTGGGTGGTGGGAGCCTGCCTTTGCCTGAATCCTGCCTCCCGAGCCCTGTGTGATCAGCAGCATCATACTGTGACTCTCACTGACAGTGCATCCTGATACTAAGCCAATCTTCCACATCCCTTTGTCCCCCACACTCTCTCAAACTAAAACCCTGGGTGTTTTCTTACCTTGAATCAGCCCTACAAGGAAGAGGTTAGCAGACTGGTGGTGCTCCAGTGCTCACACTGCGGGCCTTTCTCCTGTTTGGCACCAGCTTTTCCTGGCAGCAAAGTGAGAAGTGTGGTGTCAGCAGATAGGTCACAAGGGGTGTCCTGCTGGGCCCCATGCCTCCCATCAGGTAGCTCCAAACTGTTTCATGCCTTTAGGAGCAGTGGTCACTAACTTGTTAACACCTTCATTTGTTCCCCTGTGTAGGGGAGGAGCTGCAGAGCAAAATCTCTCACTTCTTAATGCTTTCTCTTGCTGAAAGTTGACTGATTGTTTTCAGCTTGTTTCAGATTGTTTTCAGTGGAAGAGGGAATAGAGCAAATAAACTGGTCTTCAGTTACTTTGTGTGGTGTCCCTTGTCTGCCTCTGCTGGGTTCACCTACATGTCACTGCTGCTTTGTACCCTGACTACTTGACTTTGCAAGCTGGGGCACGCACCGACACTCCTGGCTGGTAGCAGTGCACAGTCTGCTGCATAAAGCAGTCTGGAAAGCACTTTGCATAAAGGCAGCAGGCATCAGGGCAGCAGTGCTGTTCCTGCTTTGCCAAGGAGCCTCAGTGGGGAAAAGGAAGGAGATATCTGCTTAGGGGATGTCAGATTGGATTTAGAGGTAGCTACCCTGCTCCCTAGGGCACAGCACAATCCCTGTAAACTTCCTGCACACCAACACCAGAACCTCAGAGATTTCTCCGACACTTACCTCTAAATCCTTGGGACCGTGAAATCAGAAGGTTTGTGATTTGCTTTCCAGGCATGTTCTGCTGCTCTGCCACACAGCCCCGCTGCCCAGGGGATGCTTCATGCAGGTCCAAACTTGTCAAGTGATGAACAATGTTTAGTATAATGGTAGGAAAGAAACCCGCTCACTGAATAGCACACAGGCTGCCTGCCCATGGGCATCTCTCAGTGCCCAGCACAGTCAGCAACACTTGGAATCAGCAGCTATTAAGGAAGCTGGCTGGCACACGGCACAAATGTCCTGCAGAGCCAGCAAGGCTCTGCCACAACCATGTGCAATGCAATGAGACACCCTCCAGCACCCTGCAGGGATGCAGAATGGGATGTCCTCCATCACCACTCTAAGCCCTCAGCTCTTCCCAGCACCCAATGCAGGCCATGCCAGCCCAGAAGACATCTCTCCCCAGACGTGGCTGTCTTTCACGTTGAGAACTCCTCGTTAATACATTGCTGTCAGGAACTATTCAGTGACTATTGCTATTCTTTCCAAACATTTCAATTGCTCTTTTTCTTCAACTCAACTGGTTGTGGAAATTTAAGTGAACCTTCGTTAAAAAATTCTCCATCCCCTATTGTACTGAGGAAAAAATAACACCGTCCAATCTCTGTGTTGTATCTTATTCTCCACCTCTCACTGCAGGAATTAGGAATGGGATTGCAGTTTCCAAGTGGGAACATCCCCTGTCTGTACATTTTTTCAGCCTTACGAAGTTTGACAGATTCCCAAGTTCCCCACCAGCTGCGAGGGCTCCCAGGTTCCATGCAGTACTCTGGCACACAGCCCTCACCCTGACCTGATTTCCCCAGGGAGAAAGGGCAGCCTGCACCCCTCCACCCCTCGCAAACATTCCGGCCTCCTGCCCAGAAAAGCCAGACTTAAGCAGACAGAACAGTTTGGTTCCAGTACAGATTGAATGTTCTTTTAATCCCAGAGAAGTGAAACGCAACATTTGTTCGAGTTTGCAATAACATCCAAAGACAGAAGTCCAAGCCCCCTACTCCATAAAGTCATTTGTGTTTAAGGCACTCTGCAAAACCAGCTTTCATCTTCTCTTCCTTCCGATTTTCTCCACACAACAGCAGAATACCTGATTTTGTCTTTTCTCTGTAGAGACACCCACACGTCCTTGCTCTTATCACCATCTCTAGAAATTGGCAACATCAAGTACAGCGTGAGCCAAACAGAAAAACACCAGGAGGCCGGGCCAATAAATACATACGGGCACGGGAGGGAGTGCAGTGCCTGAGGGGGAGGAGGAGGAGGCTTCAAGGTCCTGCAGGAAGAGGCCAGGCACAGGATGTCCTCCCTGCAGGCACTGATGTGATTCCTCTTCCCCAGTCCTCTCTCCCTCCCAAAAGGGGATAGGATGGGAGCGGGTGCCCACCAGCATCCCTCCCCATCAGTGCTCCCAAAATGCGCAGGGGAGACCCAGCTACCCCTGCCGCGCAGCAGAAATGACCCCCGAGTTCCAGCTGTCAATAAATACAAATAAATAACTTAAATACATCTTAAATAAATAAATAAGAAATAAATAAGAAATAAATAAGTGAGCCGAGCACGCGAGCAAGCAGCCGCGTCCGCATGGGTGCCGAGGACAGGGGTGGCACTTGTGGCACCCACTCCGGCTTCACCCGCCTGCCCCGCAGGCGTTTCCCAGCACCCGCAGCGACGCTCTGAACCCAGAGAGATTGATGGGTGCTTCCCTAAGGGCCGTGCCCAAGTGGCATGTGAGCACAGCCATGAAACCACCACAGGACGGAGCAGCAGGGGCACCTCAGGATGAGGGGGAAGTGCGACCTGTCCCTCCCTGAGATAACGAGGTGCCGGCTACAAGCGGGGATGGGGATGGAGTGCTGGAGGGGCTAGCGTCCCTTGGGGTGGTTTTACAGCCGAGCTCAGGAGGCCAGGTGCTCCTCCTAGAGCCAGCACTGGGGCTCCCAATTGGGGCCCTCAGAAATAAGGGCAGCCAAGCTGCAAGCAACCCCAGACTTGAACATGCAAGCAATCCTTAGAGGGGCTGATCGCTCCCTACACCCCGAGGAGATGCAGCCGATCCTCTGCCTCTCTCTCTCCCTCTGTGCTTCAGTGCCACACAGTCCTTTGCTGCACCATTTCCTTGGGCTCAACTGCCCTCCAGCCCCTGCAAAGGGGTTTCACAAGAACTTTTGGGATTGTTTCTGTCCTAGCAGGTCAACAATACACACCTGTCTTATTTCACACTGAAAGGTATGTCCCCTTCTTCCTCCTCCCCCAAGTTTTATATTGTATTAAAAGTTTCTAACAGCTTTTCCACACACACTTTTGATAAACAAAACATCAGCAATAGCTAAAACTCCTTTGATCACGTGTCCATACAAAAACACTGGCTGAATCTCACAAAAACAAGGTGTCCAGTGCTCACCATTTCCTCGCAGAAATCTGCTCAAGAAAACAAAGCAGACCAGAGCTCAGAGCCTGCTCTCCTTCCAGGCTTTTTCACGGCAAGGACTAACCCAGCCCTCAGCTAACCCAAAGCAGTCGCTTCCCAGACCACCAAACCCCTCCGTCTGCACCAGGCTGAGCAGGAGGAGCAGGACCACAGCCCACAGCACATCAAAGTGTTCATCAGGGCGTTGGTGTGCAATGCTCCCAGAGGAAAAATAATTAAGAACCGAGTAAGTAGCAAAGCCTAATGAGAGTAATAAATAGCATGGGGATTTCACAGGGATTTTTGGTCTAAGACACCCAGGAGTTCCTTTGCTCGTGAGGAGCAGCTCCCAGGTGCCAGAGGTGTGCGTCTCACCCTGGAAAAGCATGAGCTGCACCTGAAGCTTTGCAGGGATTTGTGCGCACTTCAGAGAGCGATGCTGTGGGAAGGCTCTGCCCCAAGGCGTGTGCACACTGAGAAAAAAGGCTCCTCTGCAGCAGGGAACAGGTTTTGCATCCTGGGGGAAGCAAAGAAGCCCTGAGCTGGGCTGCCTGACACCCAGGTTCAAGGAAGTGCTCCTGATGCTGCAAGAAAGGCTTTGACAAGAGTAGCCAGTGAGACAGTTCCCAGGCTCTCCCAGCAGAAAGGGGGACACAGGAAACTCCAAGCAGGAATACCTCACATCCCCACAGCAGCAGAAACCTTCATTGCACAAAGGCAGGGGCACAAGCTGGAGGTATGGCAGCATGAAACAGAGCAGGGAAAGCAGCAAAAGCCATATTCATCTGCCCAGGACCCTGCGGCAACACAGGGCACTTGAAGCTGCCCCTGGGTGGGGACAGAGCCACTGTGGCTTCTGCCCCTGCTGCATCCAGGAAGGTGCAAACACCAGAGCTCAGCTGAAAGAAGGGAAATGTTGCTCCCCTGCTACAACAAGCAGGGAATTGTACATTGCAGCCCACAGCACCAGTACCTCCCCACAGACCAGAGAGATGCCAGCAATCCAGGCAGTCAAGGGCACAGGGCGGGGAAAAAGGCAACCTGCCAGACACCTGCAACAGCACGAGCAACTTGCACATGCACGCACACTGCACTGCTCCATGGGTGGCTGAGGATCAAACTTCCCACACCAGCAGGCATTTGGGTAGAAAATGAACAAGCACACAACCTCTTGCTATGCACTCGTGTCTGCAGTGGAAGCATCCAAATCCTGGAGTACTTCCAAGCTTTTCTGGATACCACGCAAACACCATCAGTAGCTGCCTGCTCTCCTTCGCCTCTGTGAAAAGGCATCACTTGTGATTTCTCTTCTGGTTGAGAATAATTCTTGCTCCAGCAAAAGAAATGGTTGGCGGGGATGGGAAGGGGGGTAACTGCAAAGATTTAGTGCACCATAAAACTAAAGGATATCTAACCTGCCCTCAGGTCTCACTCCTAGACAGGAACGAACTATGTCATCTCCTACATTCACAACCACTCCAAACGCACCAAGATGCATGCATAATGTCCCGCTTCCAGTCAGCTGCAGAAAACCCTCTCAGGCAGAGATGACTGCTGGCACTGGGCTCTGGCTGGGCACCAGCTCCCGCGCTGCTCCCAGGCCCTTCCAAGTCCCAGACAGCATGGCAACATGCTGATTATCGATCTGAAATGCATAGGTAGAGACATCGAGGGGAAGGGTGACTGCACAACCCCCCATGTCTGGCAGGCATGGGCTCCTCAACTACGGCTAATGGAGTGGAAAGCAGCATTTGCCACAGGCACGGTTTGATCATGCTCCTGCTCCTCACACTTCCCTGCAAGGAGGCAGGAGATGGTTGGATAAGACAGCCTTTTTTCCAGCCACAAGCCCTAGAAGCACTTAAATCCACTTCCTGGGACCAGCTTGGCAACCCCTCTCCACAGCCAGGCCAAGCTCATGCTCTCTTTCCAACTGAGGAACTTCCAACCACAGCTACAAAGGCAGGCGAACCCAAGAGGTCTGCTTTGGCTCAGGAATCCCACTCATTTGCACCACACCAACAGCACCACGGTCCCCATGTGCACACACCAGTGCGTGCCCCGGTGCTGTGCTACTTGGGAGGTATAACAACTATAGGTTGGCCTCGCTTGGGTCTCCACATGAGGACTTGGGCATCGTTGGCATTGGGTTTCACTAGTGCATTTGGTGGGATGGGCTCCATCCTGCTCAAGATCCGGGGCTGCTCTTGCTGAGTCCTTCCCACCAGTCGTGCCCGCTGCCCCAGGAGCTGCATGGGATCAACCTCAATGTCCACTCGCATCCGCCACTTTATAGTCTGCAAGATGATCTTTTCCTTGGTAGTGGTGTTCATGGCCACCAGCCACGTGGTAAAGCTCTGGTCCCTTTTAATCCTGGTCAGCAACGGCACGTTACTGTTGCTCACAGGGACGGCCCACGTCACGCTGGGGTAGAAATTGTCATTCATGCTCACCGAGAACCTGGAGATCTTGTTTGTGGGCCCGACCAGGGTCACAGTTTCTGTGGTGTTTCCATACCAGGGGTAGCTCACTCCATCAGAATCACTGATGGCTTTTACTCTTCCTTCTCGCAAGTCGGGCAGCTCCCAGCTTGACCTGGTGAACAGAGACAGAAAGGTTATTGAGGAAACAGCAACAGCAGTGCTTGAGCAGTGCCTGCAATGGAAGGAACATTGCAAGCTGCTATGTGCTGGCACGTGCAGGGTAAAGCACTTGCTTTAGAGTAGAGGGAAAAAGTACAGATAAAAGGGTAACAACTCTATCTGAAACCCCACTGAAAAAGCCATTCCTACCGGAGCCACCGGCAGCTCCATACCAGCCAAAGCTGTTCATCAGTGCCTGTCATCACCCATCACGTCCTCCCTCTGGGAGCACTAACTCAAGAGCAGAGCTTGGGAAACACCTTCGCACCTGCAGGAAGCCCCTGATGAGCTCGTTCAAGAACAAATTCAGCTTTAGCTCCTTCACTGAGTCAGTCAAGGCCAGCAGGAGCCTCTGCTCTGCCAACACAACAGCATATTAATTAACCTGCAGTCTAACCAAGTGAGCCCATACTCATTTCTGAGCAACTCTCAGGTCACTCTCTCCTTAATCTCATTAATGATGAGAAAAAAATAACAGCCTTCCCTGCACGTCAGCTGCAGCATGGTCACAATCTGCACCAAGCCTAAAGCAGCTCTCCCCAGCCTACATCTCAGTCTGCAATTTTTACATCCCTAAATATAGGCATTTGCTAAGACGCAGGTGCAGTAATTAAATACCACAATCATGCCTGCTGCTGGTGTGACGAAATCCCTGACATATTGTTAGGGTTGTGGGTGGGGGGGAATTCCAGCCAAAATCTTGGCTGCAAACCACGTTAGCAACACCAGGCAGATGCAACGATGGAGAAGATCACCACGTGGTAATTATGAGCAGGGAGCAGAGACAGTGGCCACCCAGCTCAGCAAGCCCCAGCCCAGCTCACACAGATCTTTCCTGAAATCCTCAGAACAAAAAAGTGGATACTCTTTGGATGCTGAGTCTGCATTTTCAATTTAAAAACCATTGCCCCTCACAAACGCAGACAGAGGAGGCTGTGCTAGGTCTCCATCCTGAGGCACATCAGGTTCACAGTATGTGAGTATCTGAGAAAAACTGGCTGTACCATTGCTAGATATCAAAGAAAGGAGAACAAAACAGAAACCTTAAAACTCCTCAGGCATGTTGCTCTGGTCGAAGCCTCCTGCTGAGCTCAGATGTGCACAGATCTGGGCTCTGAAGCTGCCAACAAGCAGCAGGAAACATCTGGCTTCCATCCTTCCCAAGATGCGACGATCTGCACTCACTCTGACCCTCCTAGGCACCCCAGTGTTGCACGCAACAACCCCACCTGCTCTGAAAGTAAGGAGGATGGGGCCATCCCCAGCATCCCCTGCCTGAGCCCAGCCTCACACTAACTCCTCAGCCCTGCTCTGTGGCAATGGCTTGCTTGGGGCAATGCAGAAGGCAGCTCATCTGTGGCCTCCAAGTCCCTCTGCCCTTGAGAAAAGGCAGGAAGCTGGAGGAAGCTGATCCCGGCACAACACCACAGCCTCTGGCACCCACAAGAAATCCCAAGCAGGGTTCTGCTTTCAGGAAGGGCAGCCAGGATAGGGCAGGCAAGCTCAGCAGCTTGAGGCTGGTGCCAGCTGCTCCTGCTTCCCAGCAGGATCGGGGCTGGGAGAGCTGCTCCAGCCCAGCACTGCAGCAGCAGGAACAGCCCTGCAGGCAAGGGCAGGCAGCGCCATCTCTCCCTGTCAGGAAGCCAGGGCAGCCCAGAGCTGTGCGAAGTGCCACCTACTTCCATGCCGAGGATTGCCAGGGCAGCCTCCATCTGCTCCTTCCCTTGGAAATGCAAGTAGGCTGACTCCGATAGTGACAGCACATCTTCCAGCATGAGACTGAGGAAAGAGGGTGCTTTTCCAGAGCTGGAAAGTGATGGAAGGGAGCAACTCCTGTGCCTGCACTCCTACACAGTGCATGGCTCACACCAAAGGCTGAAGGGATGGCACATGCTGTGTGGGAAGGGATGTCCAGAGCCCACAGATCTGAGGCTGGAAATCCTCATTTCCAGCAAGGGCTACTCTGCTGTCCCTCATTTCTGGGGATGTGGGAAAAGAGGAATGGGTAAATCCCAGGGAGCAGCAGGAGGGTTCTCAGAGCTTAATACCAAGCACTGCATGCGGTGCCACGTAGATTCCCCTATTTCTGCCCTCAGAGAAATAGGATCCTGCTGTTCCCAGAAGCGATCAAGAAAAATCAGGTTGATAGGACAAGCACAGTGACAATCCTGGCTGTGAGCACAGCACCGACCAGCAGTCTTTGATGCGGATGGAACCCGCAGCTCAGCCAGCAGCCTCTGCACCTGCACAGCCCAGCACCAGGCTGACCCTGCTTCCTCAGCAGCCGCTGCACATGGCAGAAACCACAGCGGCACAACCAACTGCACTGCTCTTTGGTGTCCTCCTGAGCCACGCACAGGAGTCTTCAAGCAACGTCATTCATGTAACCATACCGGGACCTCTATCATCTCACAGAAATGCAGTAGTGCCTTCAACCCATCACAGACCCATCCCAGGGCCCCTGTCTCATCCCAAAACCATCCCAGGGCCCCATCTCCTCACATAATGATATTGGGGCATCCATCTCCTCAATGAACCACACCAGGGCCTCTATTGTGTCATGGGCTCCAGCACCTCACCTAACTGCTCCGGGGCATCCACCCCCTCATCTAACCATATAGGACCCACATTTCTTCACATAAGTGCACCAGGTCCTCCAGCTCCTCACACATCCGCCCCAGGGCTTCTGCCCCCTCAACGAACCACACGACGACCTCCACCTGTTCATATAAGCACACTAAGACCTCCATCCCCTCACATAACCGTACCACGACCTCCATTCCGCCACGTAACTGCACTGGGGTCTCCATCCCTCCGTGGGGCTACACAGGAACCTCGAACCCTTCACACAGCCACACCAGGACCTCACCACCCCTCGCACAGCCAGCTCAGGACCGCCATTCCCTCACACAACCGCCCCAGGACATCCCTCCCCGCACGCCCTCCCTCGCCACCCCTCGGCCGTGCCGCAGTGCCGCCCGCCGCCGTCCCCCCGCCCGCTCCCGCTGCTCACACGCCGAGGTCGCTGTAGGTGTTGTAGAACTCCATGTGGTTGCAGGCCTGGATCCAGCCCACCACCCAGGTGTGGCGCCGGGCGATGGGCGGCATGAGGACGCGCGCCGAGGCGCGGAAGTAGGGCGTGCGGTACCGCAGCACCACCGGCGAGCTCTCCTCGATGGCGGTGGCCGCCGGCTCGATGGTGGCCGACACGTCGGACACCACGATGTGCTCCCGCCGCACCCGCGCCTTGCAGGCCACGCTCTGCAGGCAGCCCATGGCCGCAGCCCCGCCGCCTCCACCGCGCTCACCCTCCTCCGCGACGCGGGGGCCAGGCGGCGGCCCGGCGTCCCCTCGCCGCCCGCCCCACCATCGCCGCCCGCGCACCGGCGCCCGCACCGGCGCCGGCAGGGCGAACGCGCCGCCGCCTCTCTTGCGGCCCTCGCCGGCCACCGTCCGCCGGCTCGGGGCGGGACGGGGCGGAGCGGGAAGGATCCTCCGGCCGGCAGGGGGCGCCGCAGCCCCGCGCTTCGTCCCGGCATCCGTGTTCCCTAGCAACCGAGAGGGGGCGGCGGAAGCGGAAGTTCAGCAGTCCGGTGGCGGGCGGGCGGGACGGAGCTCCGCCGCGGGGCCCGGCGGCGCGGGTACCGGTACGGCTGGGCCGCGGGAGGCGGGGTTAGGGCGCAGGCCGCCGGCGGCGGGTGACCCGCGTTGGCCTTTCCGGGCTCGGCCTCGCCGCCATGCCCAGTCCCCGCGGCAGCCGCGAGCGCCGTAGCGCTCGCCCCGAGTTCGCGTCCCTGCTGAACCAGCGCGGCCCCGGGGTCCCGGACAGCCCGTCCCGCCGTCGCGAGTCGGCCGGCTCCGCGCCCCCGCCGCTGCCCGAGGAGGACTGCATGCGGCTGAACCCGTCCTTCGTGGGCATCGCCCTCAGCTCTCTGCTCGCCGTCGACCTGTGGGCCTCCAAGCGCCTGGGAGTGTGCGCCGGGGAGGCCTCGGCTTGGGGCAGCGCCCGCCCGCTGCTGAAGGTGGTTGAGGTGTCGGGGCACGGCATCCCCTGGCTGCTGGGCACCTTCTACGGGCTCTGCCAGAGCGACAGCTCGGCCGCCAGGGAGGTGCTGCTCAACCTTTTCTTCGGTGAGGCCGGGAAGGGGCTCCCCGGGCGGGAGGACGGGTCCCGAGGGAAGGGGAGAACAGAGAGAACCGGAGGGATCTCAGCCCTCGCGGCCGCAGGGAGCCACGCGGCTCCCAACAGCCGTTGTAGCTGCCAAGAGCTGCGGCATCTCAACAGTTTACTGAAGCACGCAGACATCAGCGCCCGCAGGCTTGCTGCAGGCAGTACCTGCTTGTGCTGATCTGTATCAGTCAGTGTGGAAATCTGGTTCAAAGCACACACTGTAATTATGCGTGGTGTAATGTTTTTTTTCCCCTGGCATCCTGCTGAGTAGATGTAGATTCAACATTTTTGCTTGCCTAGAAACTGCAGTAGCTCCAGAACAACAGACTTCTCCTGAACCCCAGTCCTTACCCTGTGAGATACCAAGGTGTCTCATGTGGATTGTTTGAATCTGAATGTTTGTTGGGGAACACAAGCTTTCATGCATCTTGTTCACTTTGCACTGTGTGATCAGATCACTGTCCCTGGAGAGCTGGTGGGAGGCCCTTGGTGGCCTCCAACCACTCCTCTGCTCAAAGCAGCACTATCCTGGCACCAGGGCCACCCTGATATCCAGATGCAATAAAAAGAAAGGATTGAAATGAGCTTAGTTGTTTTAAGAAAAAAAAAAAAAAAACAACTCATACAAATCAAACAAACATTCATTCTTAAATGATTAACCAAAGAGAATGAACTGAAGTAGCCGAAGGACTTTGTGCCCCACAACAAGCAACAAGGGTTACAACAAGCAGATACCAATCTCTCAGACGAGGCTTCCTAGAAAGAAGCAGCCACAGCTGCCAGCACTGGAAGCTGACTAAATAGGAGAGAGAAGACACCACCAGCTTCCCTTCCCAGACAGCGGTCAACTTCTCACAGGCACTTCTGACTTCTATCACAACAGTCTGTAGCACTCTGGGAGAAAGCCATATTTTCGTCAGCTCTTAAGGCTTTTAAAGCCTGGTTATCTTTTACACATTGGTGCCCCCAGTAGCAGGAAGAAGCCAGGTGAGGAGCTGTGAGCCCTCAGACTGCTGAGGAGTACCTGGACCCCCTTTGCACCGAGCCACAGCTGAGCACCTGAAACAGATTGATCATTTACCAGGGTCAGTGCACTTTGTGCAAAGTGATGATGAATCAGCATGGACTGGCAGGGAATATTAACCCATTGGGTGCCTTCAAATTAGGGAAGGATTTGAGTCCTGAGTCACAGAGATTGGATTTCACACAGGAAGAAAAGCCCAGCCTAGAGTGCTGACAGATGTGCTCATACACAAGCCCAGACCCTGGATGAGTGCTATGCTCTCCTTGCCTAGGCTCTGCAACTGTGAGAAACACCACCTTCTCTTAGTAGTTTTGGTAGCTATGCATTTTCATACATAATGGCTTTGCGTTGTTTCTCATCTCTCATGGGACAAAACACTCACTTTTTGCTCACTTGCTGTTATTGTCTCCTAGCACTGGTGCTGGATCTCGTGCTGGTGGCAGTGGTGAAAGGGATCGTCAGACGGCCACGGCCTACCCACAACAAGATGGACATGTTCGTCACTGTCTCAGTGGACAAGTACTCCTTCCCATCGGGCCATGCCACCAGAGCTGCCCTGGTCTGCCGCTTTGTTCTGCACCACCTGGTGCTCGCCATCCCACTGCGGGTCCTTGTGGTGCTCTGGGTTCTCATCGTTGGCATTTCAAGAGTCATGCTGGGCAGGCACAATGTGACAGACGTGCTCTTCGGCTTGTTCCTGGGCTACGTGCTGTACAGCGTGGTGGAGTACTGCTGGCTCTCCCCGCTGAACGCACCTGCCCTCTTTGCACTCTGGAGCCATTGATGGCTGCACCCCTCCCAAAGGAGGAGGCATACACCCTGTTCTCTAAGTGCACATGGAGAGGGGTTATGCTGCGACTCCTATCTGTGCAGCCAACGCTTAACACTAGTGGTGCTGCAGGCTCCCAGGCCTGCAGGTAGACACTTGGTGCTGTCTTGCCCTGCTGACGGGCTGTCAGGCAGAGCATATGCTGGCCAAGCAGCTGCACTGACTACTCTCCAGTGACAAACCTGTCCCTGCAGAGCCTGGGAAGAGGTCAGCACATCCATCCGGCAGCTCACTGCTGATACTGTGAATCAGCATGCCCTTGCTGGGCACCTGCTGTATTAGCCTATGGTGTATGTAGTAGTTGGGGCTTTGCAGAGGTTTCTCCGCAATTACCCGCATATCTGTGTGCTATAAATACACTGATCATGTTGCTGTTGTGAGTGCACTTTCTGCAGTCTCCTCCATAATACCCATCTAGGGGGGGACTCACCAAGATCTGTTCTCATGTTTATAAAGAGTTCTGCCTTCTAAGTAACATCTCTTCCCTTTATTGTGTGATTTACGCACTGCCCCGAGACCAGATCTCAACCAGCAAGGTCACAGGCATCTGGCTGCCAGTACTGTGGGGAAAGGATGGGGTGGCCAAGGGTTTGGTCAATCTGTTCCCTCTCCAAGAGGTGGGAAAGCAGCTCCCAGCAGCAGCTTGCGGTTAAAGCTGTTGTGCATAGCCTTACAGCTCTTTTTTTTTTTTCCCTCCCACAAGCTTTTCTATTGCCCAGGTGTGACAGCTTGCCCCATGGCACTGATATAGGATGCAACAAGTGCAGCAGAATGCGTGGCATTGGTCATGTACAGAGCAAGTCAGGGGCAGAGTCCAGGGCTTGAGGACTTTTGGCCCCTCTTCCCACTGCCAAGGGCAGTGCAATAGCAAGTTGTGCAGCTATTTCGCAGCACGGCTGGAAACCAGCAACCTTAGGGTAATCAGGGCTGGGCTGATCCCAGAGGAGGCAAAAGTCCAAGGGAGCGATTGATTTTACAGCACGCGTGTCATAAGGCTGGGCTGTCCCTCGCCCCCTCACCAGCCCCACGCACCCCAACGGCGTTCCCTCTCAGGGTGTCCCCTCACAGGGCTCCCTGGTTGAGCATTGGGGCAGCTCCTGGCGCAAGCCGCTGACGGAAAAGCGAAGCGCCAGTGCGAGCCGTGCGCTGGCTTCCTGCCCCACGGCCCCCGTGGGAGGAGTGACGGCGGGGGGGGGGGCAGGGGAGGGTAGGCTGTTCTCCGCCATACGCCATAAATCCAGGCTGCGCTGATCGTGGCGAAGCGTCGGAGGGCGGCATGGCGAGGCGGGTGGCTATCATCGGTGGGGGCAGCAGTGGGCTGTGCGCCATCAAAGCCTGCCTGGATGAAGGGCTGGAGCCCGTCTGCTTCGAGAGAAGCGGGGACATCGGGGGGCTATGGAGGTTTGAGGTAAGCCGTGCCGGCTGCAGGCTCTGTGTCACCAGGGGAATCAAAGTGGCCATGGTGGGATCGTGGAGCAAGGGCTGAACACACATCTGCCCCCCATCCCAGAGGGGGGATCCTGGGACCCTCGCTGGCAGCAGAACTCCCCCAGCCCTATTGCAAGGCAGTGACCTGCTGTGGGGCAGGCCATCAGGATGCTGAGCCGTGCCCTATGCCTGCAGGAGAAGCCTGAGGAGGGCCGCGCCAGCATCTACCGCTCCGTCATCATCAACACTTCCAAGGAGATGATGTGCTTCAGCGACTTCCCCATCCCCGACGACTTCCCCAACTACATGCACCACTCCAAGATCATGGAGTACTTCCGCATGTACGCGCGGCGCTTCGACCTGCTCCGCCACATCCGCTTCAGGGTGAGCGCCAGGGGCCGGGGGGCAGCACGGGGACGGGTCCACAGGGATGCTGACATCTGCTCCCCCCACCCAGACCAGTGTGCGCCGCGTGGCCAAGCGCCCTGACTTCGCCACCACGGGCCGCTGGGAGGTGGAGACCGAGAGCGAGGGCAAGCAGGAGTCAGCCATCTTCGACGCCGTGTTGGTGTGCACCGGGCACCACACTGATGCGCACCTCCCGCTGCACGCCTTCCCTGGTATGCTGCCGTGTGCCCCTGCCATGAAAGAGCCCAGGAAGCTCTGATGTTGCTGTCCCCATTCTCCTCTCTGCTTTTCTTCCCATGCGTTTCCCTGCTGAGTTCAACCTCCTGATGGGTCTGGCTGAGCTCCTCAAAGATCTTGCTTCATTCTTTGGAGGTGGCCCTCCAGCCCAGCAGTGGGAAGCACAGCATTCCTCCTCCCTCCCCACAGGCATTGAGAAGTTCAAGGGCCGCTACCTCCACAGCCGTGACTACAAGGAACCCCAGGAGTTCTTGGACAAGAGGGTCATTGTCGTTGGGATTGGGAATTCAGGGTCAGACCTGGCCGTGGAGATCAGCCAAACGGCCAAGCAGGTGAGCAGCAGCAAGGGGGGGTCACCAGAGGCAGGGCATCCTAAGGACACCCCTATGCCAAGGTGTCTCCCTCAGGGCTGTCCTCGGTGTCCCCATCACTATCACACCAATAAGGAAACAACTTTCTTCCTCACCCAGGTCTTCCTCAGCACCCGCCGAGGTGCATGGATCTTGAACCGCGTAGGACAGCAGGGCTACCCCATTGACACCATCTTCACCACTCGCATGAAGTCATTCTTGCAGCATCTGATGACCTCCTCCATGGCAAGCGACTATGCAGAAAAGCAGCTGAACATGAGATTCGACCATGCAAACTATGGCCTGAAGCCAAATCACAGGTGCCAGCAATACATCCTCCGGCCACGTCCATTTCTGGGGCTGAGCATCCTCAGAGCAGGATGCTGCACAGACACCTCAGTGCCCTGATGGCTCCTTCTGTCCTCCAGGGTCCTCGACCAGCACCCAACTATCAATGACGACCTGCCCAATCGCATCATCTCAGGCAGGGTGAGGGTGAAGCCAAACATCAAGCAGTTCACGGAAACATCTGCCATTTTTGAGGATGGCACTAGGGATGACATAGATGCTGTAGTCTTTGCCACAGGGTACAGCTTCTCCTTCCCCTTCCTTGAGGGCTATTTGAAGGTGGTGGAGAACCAGGTCTCTCTCTACAAATATGTGTTCCCTGTTGACCTGGAGAAGCCGACACTGGCTTTCGTTGGCTACATCCAACCTCTGGGAGCCATCATGCCCATCTCAGAGATGCAGTGTCGTTGGGCCACCCGTGTCTTCAAGGGTAAGACAAACTGTCCCCTGAGAGTGCAGCTCTGGAACCAGGGCAGATGGTGTCCAGCCATTTGCCTCCTGTGCCTTTGGTACTGCAGCCCCCTCACACAGGGCTCTTCTCCCTAGGGCTGAACAAACTGCCACCCAGACATGACATGGAAGCTGACATCAAGCACAAGAGAGAAGAGATGGCCAAGCGGTAAGGCCCGACCAGGACCCGACTGGGATGGGGCAGCAGCCTGTGAGGGCTGCTGGTGGGTTCTCATGGCCACGTTCCATCAGAAAGCAGGGTCCAGCCCACTGTCCTTGCCCACAGGTATGTGGCCAGCCGGCGGCACACCATCCAAGTGGATTACATCCCCTACATGGACGAGCTCGCCTGCCAGCTGGGTGTCAAGCCCAACCTGCCGATGCTCTTCCTCACTGACCCCAGGCTGGCACTGGAGGTGCTGCTGGGGCCCTGCACACCCTACCAGTATCGCCTGCATGGCCCAGGTGCATGGCAGGGTGCCCGAGAGGCCATCCTGACCCAGCAGCAGCGCATTGTTCAACCCCTGCAGACACGGCATGTGGAGAAGCACACCTCCACCATGCCGCTCCTCCTCAAGCTGGCTGGGGCCCTGGCAGTCTTCGCTGTCATCTTTACCTACCTGTAGGCTGCTGCACTCTGCCTGGTGGGGTTGGTAACGCCTGGGGGGCTACACAATCCCATGGCAACCAAGGGAACTCTTGACTTGTTGGCACGGCCCCACACAGTGAGTATAATGCACCAGTCCCTCCCAGGTGGGGCAGACCCAAAAAGCACCCTGCGGCAGCCCTGGGATGAAGGAAGAGCCCTTCTCATGTGTGGGGGAATGCTCTGTCCCGCTCAGGTATTGCTGTTGGCCAAGCATAGGCCCTTCTGTCATCTGTAATTCCAATGTGCCTCCACTGATTACATTCATATGGTTTCTACATAGCAAAGGTATAGCAAAGTTTCTAACCAGATTAAAGTGTTTTCAACAGAACCAGATGCCTGTCTTGTTACTGACATTCCCCTGTGAGCTGAGAATACACATGGGATGAGGTCTGCATGCATGCACACACATGCATACATCTGCAGCAAAGCAGTCTTGCCTGGGGTACATGCAGCTGGAACAGATCCTGAGGATCACACCAGCACAGATCATTCCCATCCCTGTAACCCACACAAAGCCCCCAGAGGACAGCAAATGGGGACATGCGTTGGGGACCTGGAGCGGTGTCAGCTGTTCCAGGCTGCCATACACCAAGCCTGGCACTCATGCCTGGAGTATGCCCCCCGTTTTGTTTTTCACATAGTAACTTGCTAACATTTGGAGCATGGCCACATCTCAGCCCCCACACCCACACCCAGGAAGTTCCTAGGGCAGGCTTCAGCATCATTATGTGCTTACAGAAAATAATGAGCCCTTTGCGATGGGCGGGCAGGAACCTGTAGATCATGTCTGGATGAAACATCTTGTAATGCCTCAGTTGACCTCAGCCATCCACGCTGAGAAACACAGGGACACCCAGCACAGCTGAGCGGCACCAAACCCATCCCTCCTGTCCCACTCACCAGACTCAGTGACCTCCTGTGTGCCCAACGGCACAGCCTCCCCTGCCACCACTGCTGTCACTACTGCCAGACATGGCTGCCCAGAGAGTAGCCATCATCGGTGCTGGCGCCTCCGGCTTGTGTGCCCTGAAATGCTGCCTGGACGAAGGACTGGCCCCCACCTGCTTCGAGAGGAGCGGGGACATCGGGGGGCTGTGGCGGTTCGAGGTAAGCACCATGCTGTATCGAGCTGCCCTAGGCAGCAGCACAGACAGGATTGCTTACTGGCAGCTGATGAAGCACTGCTGGGACATCCCCTTGGCACAGACTGGGATGCTGGCAGTGCAGGACTGGTCCTGTCCAAGGAGCCACTGCTGGGGCCACCTGTCAGCCCAGGCTTGCTTTCCTGCCTCAGCCTGTCCTGCTCCCATCCATCCCTCCCACTGGTCCCACCTGTTCACCTCCCCTGTTCCCCCCCGCAGCTGCCCCACTGCCGCTGGCATGACTTTCCTATCCTTCTCAGCCCCTTCTTTCTCTGAAAGTCCTGGCTGCTCCTCATCCTTTACTTCTCCTACCTCCCACACATAGGCACAGGGTGCTGCCTTTGTTCTCCTTGCCAAGGGAAAGCCCTAGAGCTTGTTTCTGCACTTGCCAAGCGATGCCACTTTCTCTTCTTCCCAAGAAGAGCCAACCTTGCATGCTCTGCTGCCCTGCCCAGCCTTGCAGTGAGCAGGACGGCCTGGGAAATGCTAAACAGTGCTGGCATGGGGTTTGGGGCTGCCTGGCTAATACAACGGTGGTTTTGTCCAGTGATGGAGGAGAACTAATGCATGGGAGCCAGAAGCTGAGCTGCTGGGGCAGATATCAGGAACTGGGCTGAGCTGACACAATGGCTGCCTCAGTGTCGTGGGACTGATGGGATAGTCATAGCACAGGTGGGTTTGGGACTGCCGTACGTTCCCCTTGCCAGCACTGAGCCGTGCCCTATGCCTGCAGGAGAAGCCTGAGGAGGGCCGCGCCAGCATCTACCGCTCCGTCATCATCAACACTTCCAAGGAGATGATGTGCTTCAGCGACTTCCCCATCCCCGACGACTTCCCCAACTACATGCACCACTCCAAGATCATGGAGTACTTCCGCATGTACGCGCGGCGCTTCGACCTGCTCCGCCACATCCGCTTCAGGGTGAGCGCCAGGGGCTGGGAGGCAGCACGGGGATGGGGCCACAGGGATGCTGACATCTGCTCCCCCCACCCAGACCAGTGTGCGCCGCGTGGCCAAGCGCCCTGACTTCGCCACCACGGGCCGCTGGGAGGTGGAGACCGAGAGCGAGGGCAAGCAGGAGTCAGCCATCTTCGACGCCGTGTTGGTGTGCACCGGGCACCACACTGATGCGCACCTCCCGCTGCACGCCTTCCCTGGTATGCTGCCATATGCCCCTGCTCCAGGAATCCTCTTCCCCAAGACTCTGCACAACCCTGTCCCCTCTGGCTGAGCCTTAACCCCCACCTGTGGTTGCTCCCTTCATGTCATAAACCTCAAAGCCAAGCAGGGTGCTGAGGGTGACACCAATCATCTCCCAGGCTGAAGATGCCACCACCTCCCTGGGCACAATCCCTGGGCAGTTCCCACTGGGCTCAGCCTGCTCCCAGAGCACATACCTAGCCCAACAAAAGGACAGCCACCCCTGCTCTCTCTTACAGGACTGGACAAGTTTGAAGGCTGGTACCTGCACAGCCGGGACTACAAGAGCCCGCAGGCCTTTGCGGAGAAGCGGGTCGTCGTGGTTGGCACCGGGAACTCGGGCATCGACATCGCAGTGGAGCTGAGCCACAGAGCCAAGCAGGTGATGTCCCAAGACAACCATGCAGGTCTGTCTGAGTTTGGGCCAGCACTGCACTTCAGATTAAATGCCCCTTCTCACTTCTACCAGGTGTTTCTCAGCACCAAGCGTGGGACATGGGTGATGCACCGGGTGGCAGAACGTGGGTACCCCTTTGACTTCTCCTACCTCAGCCGCTTCACCCAGATCCTCCAAAGCCTGCTGCCCCTCTCTGTGAGCAACTTCATGCTGGAGAGGAAACTCAACATGCGCTTTGACCACGCTCTCTATGGTCTGAAGCCAAAACACCGGTGAGTGTTTGTGGCAGCGTTATGGGGACCTGCCTGCACCCAGCCCTGCATGAGCTCTATTTGTTCTCGCCAGGGTCTTCAACCAGCACTTGACCATCAATGACGACCTGCCCAACCGTATCATCTCAGGCAGGGTGCGGGTGAAGCCGAACATCAAGCAGTTCACGGAAACATCTGCCATTTTTGAGGATGGCACTAGGGAAGACATAGATGCTGTAGTCTTTGCCACAGGGTACAGCTTCTCCTTCCCCTTCCTTGAGGATTCTGTGAAGGTGATGGAGAATCAGGTCCCACTCTACAAGTTTATCTTCCCAGCTGACCTGGAGAAGCCAACGTTGGCTTTCATTGGCTACATCCAGCCTCTGGGAGCCATCATGCCCATCTCAGAGATGCAGAGTCGCTGGGCCACCCGTGTCTTCAAGGGTAAGCAAGGCGGGCAGGGAATGCATTCCTCTGGGTATGGCAAAACCAAATTATTCCTGGTGGCATGTCCTCCTCCTTTTATTATCCTTCTATGAAGGGATATAAAGTAGCACTGTGTTTCGCAACAAGTTGCACACATTTTCATCATGTGGTAATGGGTCTCCTCTCCTGCAACACATTTTCTCTCTTTTATTTCTTTGCCTGTGCCTTTCTCTTACCCCTGTTTGGTTGCCCAAAGGCTTTCCTGCACCAGAGGCCACGCTGGGTGCAGAGGGGCATGTTTGCTGAGAGCACAGCTCTCTCTCCTTCTCCTTCTTCCGTAGGTCTGCACAAGCTGCCACCAACCAGCACCATGCTGGCTGACATCGCACAAGCCAAGGACAAAATAGCCAAGCGGTAAGGACCCTGTGGGTCACTAACCCTGCCACCACCTCCTCGATGCACACACACTGAGCTGTCCTTGCCCACAGGTACGTGGCCAGCCGGCGGCACACCATCCAGGTGGATTACATCCCCTACATGGACGAGCTTGCCTGCCAGCTGGGTGTCAAGCCCAACCTGCCGATGCTCTTCCTCACTGACCCCAGGCTGGCACTGGAGGTGCTGCTGGGGCCCTGTACACCCTACCAGTACCGCCTGCATGGCCCAGGCGCATGGCAGGGTGCCCGGGCGGCCATCCTGACCCAGCAGCAGCGCGTTGACCAGCCCCTGCGGGGCACAGCCAGGCACCCAGTGCCACACTGCAGCTCTGTGCCACACATCTTCAAGGTCTTCTTCAGCCTCGGATTGATTGTGGCCACGCTCATCTACGTCTCGCTGTCCCCTTAGCCCTGATGAAGGGGGCTGCTGGACATCCCCTTCCTTTCCTTGAGGTTTCGGTGCTGCTGGGAGAGGCTTAAAGAGCTCTGTTGGATGCGTGGTGGCATGGGGAACTCTTTCCTCAAGGGAAAAGGCAATAAAGCTCGTCCCCGTTCTCCGGGGTGAAGGGTCAGGCTCTGGTCCGTCCTCACGGATGCCCGCGCCGCGCACACATCGCACAAGACAGTTATTCGCGCCACCCACAGCAAAGATGGCCGCCCCTCCCGGAAGTCACACCGCCCTCAAACAAAATGGCCGCCCGGTACCATAGAGAGCAGCGCGGGGGCGGGCCAGAGCGCCCCGCAGAGGCTGGCGGTGGCGGCGGACGCCATTTTGATCGGAGGCGGAGAGCGGGGCGGCGGCGGCGGCGGCGGGCAGGTGGGGCTGCGACCGGGGCTGGGCCGGGGGGCTGCGCTGTCACCGTGTGCGCTGGGGCCGGGGCGGCGGCTCGGTGTCACGGCTGGGTAGGCCGCGGAGGGGACGGGAGCGGACAGGCGTCTGCAGGGGGGTGGGGCTGGCAGGGTGCTGGCGGGGTGGCATTGCGGCGGTGACACTGTGGTTGGCAGCACCGCCGCGGGTGTTGTGCGGTTGGTGGCACTGCCGGGGGTGACGGTACAGTTGGTGATGCTGCGATGGGTAGCGCCGCAGTTGGTGACGCTGTGATGGGTGGCACTGGGTTGGACGATGCTGCAGTGGGTGACAGCTGCCCAGACCCCGCAGGCATGGCCATCCCCAGCCGGGGGCACGGAGCCTGGGTGACACGGAGGGCTTTGGGGTCGGTCAGGTGCGCTCTGCCTGCCCGCCCCGGTCATCTCATCCTTGTGAGGTGATGATCCATGGGCTCGCTGCCCTCCTGCCTCTGAGGGCTTAAGAAATACTTCAGTAATTGCCCCATAATTGTCTAAAGCAGAGCTTTGGCTGGCGGCCTCACCTGGAACTCTTCACATAACTTGAGCTTCGAAACAAATCCCCAAATGTCACAACGAAGCGGATGAAGCAAGGCCGGCTGTCCTCCTGCCATCCCTGCAAAACAAAGCTGGGCAGGGGCAAGAGCCCCAGCCCACCTCGGCTGCTGACATCTGCCTGGGGCCCGATAGCTCCCTGTAACCCACGGTGGCTTTGTTGTTTGGTCCAGGAGGCCAGGTGCGACACAGCCAGCTCCCCCTGCCTGGCCTTCTGCAAGCAGGATGGCACAGCGGTGGTCTCACCCCGATGTATCACCCAATGCTGGGCAGACATGCAGCCCTGGAGTCGGGCGTGACGAGCACACCTCCTCGCTGTGCTGAGCCTTCTGCACACACTGCACGGTACTCCTTGCCTTGGCCACGCTCCAGCCTGGGCGATTCCACTCGGCTACTTTCAGCACCGTTGCCTCTGCCAGGCGTGAAGCCCTGCTCCTCTGCCCGCAGGCTCACAGAGACTTGTTGGGAGCTGTTAAGCAGCTGCTACTTTCACTCTCCGGCTGTTTTCTTGCTGGATGTAGCATTTTTTTTTCTGTGCAGGCTCTGGGATTGTGAAAGAGGCTCTGTTTGTGCCAAGGGACAATTTGCTACTCAAGGGTGGCTTTATTTTTCTCATCAGCCCCTCCACTTGTGTAGGATGCGGTGTAGCTCATGTTTGTTTTAGGGTATAACAATTACCAGCTTAACTATCACGATGGCTCATAAGTGTATGCCTATAATTAGTTCAAGCTGTCTTGCTTGTTAAATTCCCCTTCGGCTCCCAAACTTGGCATTGGGAATGAACTTTGGGCCTTTTTTAGGATTGCTGTCACTCTGTGCTGGCAAAAGGCAGCAGGAAGCAGCACCCTCGCTCCCTCCTCACTGCTGGAGTCCATGGGCATAGGCACACTGCCTTCTCCTTCTCACAGGGGCTGCTGAGCTGTCATGGGAAACACCACCAGTGAGCGAGTGTCTGGTGAGCGCCATGGCTCCAAGTCCCACCGCTCCGACAGCTCTGGTGCTGCCCATCCTGCAAAGGAGCACCCACACAAGATCATGGTGGGCAGCACAGATGACCCCAGTGTTTTCAGCTCTCACGACTCCAAGGTAGGGGCTGGCTGCTGCTTTTGTTGTCCTCACATTGGGTGCTGGGTGGTATTCCAGAGGGGGGCTGTGCTGGGCTGAGGGTGCTTTCAAGGAGAGGGTTTTTGGTGAGAGGGCTGTAGCACCTGGTAGAGAACAGCCCTGTGTTTAATTCAAACTAAACACAGGCAGGGTGTTGGGGTGCTGGGATACCGCTTTCATAGCAAGAGCCACAGGCTGAGCTGCAATACAAGAGAAGCATCTCCTGGGATGCATGAGCGGAGCTGCTTGCCTAGCCTGAGATTGCTGTTGTCTGGGATGTGCAAATGGAGGTGAGGGGAAATGAAACAGCTCTGGTGTTCTCTGCTCAGATTCCAGGGGACAAGGAGTTTGTTTCATGGCAGCCGGACCTGGAAGAGTCAGTGAAGCCATCCCAGCAGGCTCGCCCCACTGTCATCCGCTGGGCTGATGGGGGCAAAGAGGTCTTCATCTCTGGATCTTTCAACAATTGGAGCACCAAGATCCCGCTCATCAAGAGGTAGCTGGCCCCTTGGGTCACCCCATGTTCTCCTCCATCCATCACAGGGAACATTTCTCTCACAGCTATTTGCTGTTCCCTTTGCCTGCCTGGCTTCTCACAGTTCATCATGCCCAAGCTAGAGGTGTGAGCACAAATATGCAGTCAGCATCCTGCCTGGGTTGTGCTGCAGTGGTGGGGAGAAATTGTGAAACAGGGGACAGGACAGGATGGGCCTCCTTGCTTTCCCAATTGCATGCCACACAGCAGTCATCCTGGCAGCAGAGCCCTGCCCAGGTATGCTGCAGTTCTCTGAAGCTTGCTGGCCTATCTCCTTGCCTAGTTCTGTTGCTGCTAGAGGGAGTTGTTTAGTTGTCCCTCACATGTCTTCCTGTTCTGCAGTACACCTGTGTTTTCTGTGGAAACACTGTGTAGGACTGGGCATAATCCCAGGAAATACCTGGAATGGGATTATCTCAATTGCAGACTTCAGAGGCACTTCCTGCTTCCATCCTGCAGTACCAGCACAGGTTTAGATTTGTTGTCCACTCGCCCTGTCCAGTGTGTCTTGCACATGACATCTGTCATGCCAGCTTCCCCAGAGCACGTGGGGCAAGGCTGCAAGCTGAGCTTCTGTTCACCTTGTGCCCTGATTGGAGATGATCTGAGTGTTTTTTTTCCAACCCTAATGAGTCTATGATTCTATGGACCCTAAGGGATCTGAGTCATACTGAGGCTCTGGGCACTCACACCTGCTCTGGCCATGCCTTGAGTGATGAGCAGTCCTAACCCAGTACATGGGTGTTTGGGTCGAGGGGGCAGGGAGTGCATGACAAAGTGCTGTTTTCTGGGACCCCATGGAGAGGCAGCATCCAAAGCATCACTGCAGTAATGGTGTTGTACATCTGTTTTCTCTGCACAGCCACAATGACTTTGTCGCTATCCTAGACCTCCCAGAAGGAGAGCACCAGTACAAATTTTTTGTGGATGGCCAGTGGGTCCATGACCCATCCGAGGTAACTCTCAAAGTTTTATCATTGCAAATCTTGCCCTCTTTGGGGCCCAAAACATGACGTAAACACAGCAGAGGAGAAGTATGAAGAGCAGAGAATATCTGCCAGTGCAAAAGGAGAACCTCCATCTCATGAATCCTCTCAGAGGCTGGTTCTTTTGGGCTTAGACATGCTGTGTGGGGACAAGCTGTAGAGAGGAACGTCAGGGATGTATTGGGTGGCAGCAAGATACCAGTAAGCTTTAAAATCCCCATTCTGAATTGGAAGGACAAGCCATGGGTCAGCATTCACTGCAGGTTCTTCTCCCAGCTGCATCACACAGGAGCAGCATGGGAAGGAGATGATGCTTACCCATTGGCATGTAGCAAGAAGGATGAAAGTAGGAGATAATAGGAGCCTAGGAGTAAGGGGAAATCCTCCCAGGGCAAGCAGCAGAGATCTGCAAACACAGAGCAAAGCTAAACTCTTGCTATCTATGCTCTGAGGTAATGGCATAACAAAGGCAGCTCAGGCTGGGACAAGCTGGGAAGCATGAGTATGCTTCAACTGAGGGTGTATGTAGGAAGCCTCTTACCTTAGTTCTTTCCAGCCCGTGGTCACCAGCCAGATGGGGACAATTAACAATCTGATTCATGTCAAGAAGTCTGACTTTGAGGTGTTCGACGCTTTAAAAGTGGATTCCCTGGAGAGCTCAGAAACCTCAGGTCGGGGTGAGTTTTTGTGGCATTACAGCTTTGCATGTGCTATTTTCCATCTCCTACTCTGAGACTCACTGCTATGGGGACAAACAGCTCCCCTTAGCAGAGGTGTGGGCCCATACACAGATTAATGTTTGGCAGCATGTCCTGCCCCTGTCCTCAGCAGCTCCTAGCTGAGACATTATCTCCAAGGAGGCTGTGCTGGTGTAACCTGTTCTGTGTTAGCATGGTCCCAGAGCAGGGCTGGTGCCTTCCTGCAGCTGAGATGGCCATTACAGACCAGTGAACACAGGGAACATCTCTCCTTTCTGTCTGCTAAACTGTGAGTAAGTCATCTGATCTGGGGTAGAAGCTAGGTGAGAGCAGGATCCAGGCTATTTTCAGCGGTTGCTCTTAGTTTTCACACCAAGGCTATTTGTACTATTGCTAGCACATCAGAAACCTCTCTCCACTCATGTTACAGCAGCAGGTTGAGTTACCACATGGATGCTGGCAGTGCTGGCTTGGTGAGTGATGCTGGCAGGTAGTTCAGTCATGTTTCAGTCCAAGGTGCTCTGAGTGCAGCCTGCCCTCCATGCTCTATCTCAGGTACAGCCTCAGTTCCAGGCCCTTGCCTAGCCCAAAAAGAAGCCATTAAGGAGCATTTCCAAGGAGGTGGACCCTTCAGGTTGCTTGCTGTTCCAAAATGAGCAGGTCAGATGTGGCTGGGAGATGCAATCTGTCCAGCTTACAGACCCAAGCTCCTGAGGTCCCTCACACAGGCTGAGCAGCTCCTAAATCTGGACTTCACCTTCTGGGCCCTCTGAGTCAGGCGGTTGTGAAGATGTGCTGCTTGCTGTGCCCCTGCATCCTTGTGCCTGCTGCAATGGGCACTGCTCTGGGGCAGGCTGCTTGGAACAGGGAGAAGTACCCAGTAGTGCTGAGAGTTGTGTGCAGGGGTCTTGGGGTGGATTCCACAGGGTGCCTGTGTTGTGTCTGTGCATGTGCTACCTTACAGGCATTCTTGGATATGCCCACAGCTTGCCTGGCTGCTTATTCTGCTGTGAAAAGTCTGATCTGTTGCTATATGATACATGGCTAAGGGAAAACTGAGGTCTGAAGACCCTTCTGAAACAGAACAAGCCACTTTCTGTTCCCTAGATGCTGTGGCTTCTAAACATGATGAGCCTGTTCTGCTGCCTTACTGCATGCTGACCCAGCCTTCTCAGTACTAGTTGCAGACTGGGCTCATGGAATCCTTCAATGTCTGAAAGACCCTGCTGGGTTCTTCTCAGCATCCTGGGAGCTGATCTGTGATTTAGCCATCTTATACCACCTCCTGTCTCTTTCCTTTAGACTTATCAAGTTCACCACCTGGACCTTATGGCCAAGAGATGTATGTGTACCGGCCTGAGGAACGCTTCAAATCCCCTCCCATCCTCCCGCCTCACCTCCTCCAGGTCATCCTCAACAAGGACACCAATATCTCGGTGGGTACCAGCACACGGCTGCATACAGAGAGCAACGTAGAGGCCAGAAGGGGAGTCCTGTCTGCAAGAAGCCTGCTCAGCCCTTAGCTGGTGCCTGGCCCTTGCTCTTTGCTGGAAAGAGCATCGATTTTCTCATTAACCACTCTTCCTAGTGCTGAGCCAAGCTTTGTTCATGTTCTGAACAGCCACCCAGCAGCTCAGATTGTCTGAGATGGCAGCTCCTTGCTTCTCATGCTGGGGGGTCAGGGTTCTGCTATTCTCCTCTGATGCTTCTCTTGTCCTAGTGTGACCCGGCCCTACTGCCCGAACCCAACCACGTCATGCTCAATCACCTCTACGCACTCTCCATCAAGGTAAGGGCAGGCCTCAGCAACTACAGACTGGGGAAGGGGGGAGCAAGTGTGGCTCCCAGAGGCCTGCAGGTCACAGAACCTGGACAGCCCTGGGGTGGTGATGGTGGCACAGAGGTCCAAGGAGTCACCTGGGGATTGCTTGGCTGCCTGATAGATGTGGCATGTGCAGGGATGTAGGTGGTGGTGATCTTCTTACAGCCCCCAGTTCCCTGTAGCTGCCTCCTCACAGCATGGTGGAGCTGGGCAGCCTGGTGCTCTCCTGTCACAAACCAACTCTCTCCCTTGCTCTTCCCTGGCTCCCTGTCATGGGTGGTGGGTAGTTCTTGCTGGCTGTGCCAGTCCCCCAAGCCCATAGAGCAGCAGGGGCCTCTTCCTCCCAGCTGCCTAGGGGTACCCTGCAGCACTGAGCTCCCCAACCCCTGCAGCTGATGCTTTGCCTCTCACAGGACGGCGTAATGGTGCTCAGTGCCACACACCGCTACAAGAAGAAGTACGTCACCACGCTGCTGTACAAACCTATCTGAGCCGGGGCCTTGCCCACCCCCCACGCAGGACACGAAATGCCACTTTGTCTGCACATGCTGGGCCACAGGACTGTGTGAGGACTGGCTGCTGGATCCAGCCTCCAACCTGGGGGGGGGTGCAGCCCCCAGTGATGAGTGCAGGCCTGCTGGGGCCATCCTGCTGTCCCATTATACTGGTGTGGTTTGATTTAACCCTTGGTTTCCGCCCACCTGCAGCTCCCCTTGGCTTCAGTGAGTCCCTGGGGCTGCTTTGCTGCTCACGGAACAGTCTTTCCTCACTCCTGCCATGGAAAGGGCTTCACTGCCCCTCTGCTCTAGACTGTGATGGCCCTGAGGCTGTCCTGGCACTGTCTGCAGCCCAGGCCAGCAGCAAAGTGTCCTTTTGCTGTGCTGGTAATAAGCCTCCAAGGCCATGTCCCTGGAAGCTTGGGGATCCTTAGCCTGCCACTGTCCCCCTGTCCCTTAGCCCTGTCTGTCCTGTTCCTTGTACTCCCCAGCTTCAAGGAGAGCTTTTGGCCACAGCTCTCTACCACAATCAGTGTTGAGTCAACAGGAGGGAGGGCACAGCTGGATGCACCATGCTTACCTGCTGCCAGGACAGCACCATCGAGGACTGAACACCCGCCCTGTCACCACCATCGGGTGCTTCTGATGGGCCTGGGAAGAGTGGAGCAAGGCAGATACCCCAGGACCCCAGCTTACACCATCTGCTACTGTAGCAGTGCCCTGTGACAGGGTTTTCTCTATTTATTACAGTATTTATTGTTCTCTGTGCTGCTGGCCTGGTGTTGGAGGGATGCTTGGGAACAGCGAGACCATTGTGCCATGGTCCACCCCTGGGGAGTTCAGCACAGAGCTGCTCCTTGGGACAGCCACCAGGTCCCTAGGAGGCTACAGGAGGGGGCTCAGCTGCAGGGATAGGCGTGCTGCAAACACCAGGACCCGAAGGAAACCTTTATTGGAGACTCTCAGGCCATTGAACAGAACGTGTCATTTCTTACATCTTCCTCCCATGCTGGGGCCTTGACATGCCCAGGGAGGGCCCAGAAACACAGCTCCAATATCTATACCTCTCTCTATATATATACATACATCCATGAGCGGGGGTGGGTATGCAGTAAGGTTACACATGAGACCAAGTCCCAGGGCAAGAGGTGCTTGGCCTAGAGGGCCGTGACACCCTGCTCTGAGCACAGTGGGAGGAAGGGGGCAAGCAGTGAAGCATGGGGCAGGCAAAGCCCAAGCCAGCTGCTGCAATACCAAGCAAAGGCGGGTGAAGGGCGCACAACTGTCACAGGTCCCCAAACCCACTAACTGCAATGCCTGGGACAGCGCTAGGCACCCCTGAGCCCTGTCCACTCCAGCCTTCCAGTGTGGGCCATTATGTGGCCAGGGACATTGCTCCCATTGTTCAGCCCGAGACTCACGCAACAGGCAGGGCTTGCTGGGCCTTCACCTGGTAAGAGAGCATGCACAGCAGTGAGGGCTTGGCTGGGACTGTTGTGCCCCAGGGATAGGGATGCAAAGAGCAAGGGCAGTCCACAGGACCCACATCAATGCATCCTGGGCTCACCCCACCCTCTGTTGTCTGCCATCTGAGCCCAGCCCCAGATGAGACCCAGAAACCTTTACCAGGACAAGGGCATACATCCCTGTCCAGGGCAAACTCACCTCCAGGTTTGTCCTGGCCTTGTGCAGCACATTGTGAGTCCTGGTCACTGTGAAGGACAGAGGGACAGAGTCAGCAAGGTTCCTGTGCCACAGGGTGACCCCAGGTACAAGAGTACTGGGCCAGTGCAGCCATGCCACATACACTGGCTGACTATGAACTGCTCCATGCTGTCCTTGAGCTGGGCCATGCTGTGGAGCTGCTTGGCTGTGCTCTGCAGAGCATCCTCCTTCTTGGAGAGCTGGGCACGCAGTGCCGTGATCTCACTCTGTAATGCCTGCTCCTGGGATGAGACATATGCTGTGAGCAGTGAGCATCCAGCCTGCTCACCCTGCTGGCTCCCCATGGTGCTCACCTTGCCCTGGTGCTGAGCAGGGCCAACGGGCAGCACGGTGCTCCAGAAGGTAGTGAGGAGTGAGGCACACTCCTCCAGGACACGGTGCAGGGTGCTGGCACTGCCCCAGAGATGCCCTGCACCTACACACCCCGGGACCTGTGGGAAAAGGGTGCGGGAGCAGGTGCTGCTGAAGCACCTCCATCCCCCTCCCCTGCTATGGGGACTGTGCTGCAAGGATCCAGCCCTAAATCACCCAGATCAGCACTTGCACCTGGTAGCAGCCTGGTATGCCCACAGCCATAGAACAGATGGAGCACATGGCAGATCCCTGCTTACTGCAGGCCCCCAGCCCATCCTGCCCGCCCTGTACCTCCTTTCCTGCGCTGGACAGCCCGAGTGCTGGACGTGTCAGGCATGTCAACTCTTGGGCCAGCGCCTTCCCCTCCAGGATGTGTTGCTCCAAGGAACGATAGGTGTCCAGGCACCCAACAACATGAGCCCCCACTGGTCCTTTGCTCTTCTTCACCAGAGGGTTGGCCCTACATGGCTCTGTAGGAAAAGCAGAACTGGTGAGGAGCAGTGCTTGCTTCCCCTTGTAGCTCTGCCCTGAGCTCAGCAAGGGTGTCTTGAGTATCTCAGGAGCACTCATGCAGGAGGGCTCAGGTACCTACCAACTGTATGCTGGGGCATCAAAGTGTCAGAGTGTGGTGAAGAAAAGGGAGCTGCCGAGCTGGTGCCAACATCCCGCACAGGAGGAGATGGGAAGCAGCCTGGAACAAGATCCAACTGAGCCCTGCAGATGGCTGTGGGTGCTGGGGTTTCCCTCCCTCCCTGCATTCCAAGGCCAGGAGCAGGGCTGCTGAGCTGGGCACAGTGCTGGTACCTGCACGGGGCTCAGTGGCAGGGCTGGGAAGGCTCTCATAGACATGCAGCTCCGTACGCAGGGCCTGCAGGAGCAGGCGGTGCTCCTCACACTGCTGCTGCAGGAGCGTCACTGTGTGCTGCAGCCTGCACAGAGGTGACATGTAGGTCCAGAGCCAGCCACAATGCCCAGCCCTGCCATTCCCAGACCTCACCTGTTATTGTCCTCCTGCAGAGAGAGCCTCTCATCCCGCAGCTGCCGGATGCTCTCCTGGTGCTTGGTGAGCTCCTCTGCCAGCCTCCGATGCTCCCCACGCCGCTGGCCCAGCTCGGCCTCTGCCTCCCGCACTCGTGAGCAAGCAGCCAGGAGGGCCTCTTGCACCCGTGCCAGCTCTGGAGACACAGAGATGTCAGTGTCACCCTGCTCAGCAATTCCCCTCTAAGACACAGGTGGCCCAGCCCTACCTCTAGAGAATTGGTCACACTGCAGCCTCAGGGTCCGGTTGTCCTCACGCAGTGCCCGGTTCTCCCCACTCAGCTGCAGCCCCAGCTCCGGCCCTTGAGCATAAATGTCGCTGGGCAAACCTGCAGTGGGGGACAAGTGCTAAGCCCCTTTCGCCAGCACCATGACATGCAGAAGGTGAGCACCTGGGGAGCATGGCCTCCAGTGGCCCCATGCAGTGTCGTACCGCTAGCCTTGCTGGTGGAGGCCAGGCGGCGTTCGAGCTGCTCCCGGAGCCGGTCGTTGGTACAGATGGACTCCTCCAGGCGCTGGCGCAGACTGCGGATCTCCACCAGGTGCTCCTCTAGCAGTTCTGCCCCTGCACACCCACAAACACGTCTTCATGACAGCCACATTGCCCACCCCACACCATGCCCACCACCTGCCCCCCCTGGCCTGAACCTTCTGGGGTTGAGTCTCCCCAGCAGTGATGCCCCCAGGCTCCCAACACACCTCATACCTGTTAGCTTCTGGCTGCTTGGGCACCCTGATGGCAGTGCCCCATAAAGCTGGCCAGCAGCTGGCATGTCCCAGAGGGCAGGGGGCTTGGATAAGCTCTGCAGAGCCCCGTGCTGGCACACTGATGCTGCTGGCTTGCTGCCCTCTCCAAAGGGGCCCAGCAAGGCTGTGGGCTTTGCTGTTGGCAACGTCGCATCTGCATACACAGGGCAAAGTGGTGAGGAGGAGGAGAACAAAGGGCAGAAAGGAAGAACTGGGATGACAAACCCTCTCGCCACACGCTTCTTGCTGTGCCTATCAGTGCAGCCCACTGTCTCCCATTCACCCCAAGGAGCAGAGGCTCTCCCAGTGTGCGCTGACTGCATGACACAAGTTGGGAAGCCTCAGCCCCTCTTCTACCCAATGGCTACCCAAAGCAGCCTTTTCCAAGGGGTGTTCATCCCACCCACCCTTTCTTCTGTACAAAAGGATCCACATGTCCCCATCATCCCCCTGCAAGAGCACTGAGACTTGGGGAGAAGGAGGAAGGCCAGGGAAGGACATTCAGGCTGGGGGCCAGGGGTCACACAGCACGATATAGCAGGACAGACAGGACCGTGCCCCTGCCAGGGGTGCATGCTCACTTTCTCCCAGCTGCCTCTGGAGCACTTGCAGCTCCTGTTGTGCCTTGGCCAGGGAGCAAGCATGGGTCCCGCAGCAGCCCAGGGACACAGGGAGCCCAGTGGGCAGGAAGGAGTGAGTGGGTGTCAGTGCTGGCAGGGGGGCACTGTTGGATTTGGACAAGGAGTCAAAGTGGAGGCCTGGAGACAGGAGAAAGATGAAGAGAGGTGTTAGCGTTGGGCTCTGTGCTGCAGCCATGCACTGCAGAGGGGCTGCATGCCCCCAGCTCCTGGTACCTGAGAGTCGGGCAGGTTCCTCAGGGCACTGGCTGCACTCACTGGCTGCTTCCCCATCAGAGCAGGGCTCCAGAACATCAGACACAAAGGAGGCGCTGGTAGCAGAGCGGGACGACTCAGAGGGTGGGTGACTGCTGTCTGGGGACTCACATCGCTCCTGCAACTTCGCCTCCAGTCTCTCAATCACCTTCTCCTTCTCCTGGAGCTCCCGGCTGAGCCTGCAGAGACAGCCCATCAGCAAGGTTGGTGACCCTGCACAGCTGTTCCCTGCTGTGCCATGTCCACCATAGCATCACACTGTAGTGCAGGGTCACAAGATGCCAAGTCCAGGAGAGCAGTGGCATCCCCAGCACAGCCACTCAGAGCACTATGGACCCCCATCCCAAAAGCAGCGATGACCCCCAGGGTGTCCCTCTGGTAGAGGGTGTACCTCAGTGCCAGGAGCTCATGGCTAGATTTATCCTCCCCATCCTGTCGATCCCCTGAAAAAAAACAAGAACAATCAAAGAGGAACTGGTTAGTGTCCTCTCAGAACAAACAGTACAGTCCACAGCAGTGCAGGTAGCCCCCATGTCCAAACAGTTCCAGCTCACAGCAGCACCCATCGGATCATCCCTTCCCGTTCCCCCTGCCCCCACACCACCCAGTGCCCCCCGAGGCACTTACTGGTGCCCAGCTTATCACTGAGCCTCTCAGCCAGCTGCCTGCCTTGGGCCAGCTGCTCCCGGAAGCCCTGGCCCAGGTAGTAGTCAATGTCGGTGCCGCGAAGGAGCTCCTCAAAGGAGCGCAGGGCATCATGCAGGTGCTGGGCCAGGCTGCGGCTCACTCCACGGCCCTCACGCAGCGTTTGCCGCAGATGGGAGAGCTCCCGGGCCTGGGCTTGGATCAGCGAGTTGTATTTCCTGTAGGGTTGGGAAGGAAGGGGTACCCAGAGCTGCCTATATTACATAGCATGGACAGGTGCCATGGACGCGTGCACACCATCCAGCCCTGGGGCTCTGCAAGCAACCACTTCAGGCAACCCCTGCAATCTCCCATAGCCCCCCCATCCATCCCAAGACACATGCCCATGCCATACCCTGGCCAAGTAGCAGACTGCAGTTCCTTGGGGAAGCCCCCCCCGGGCTTGGCAGGAGGCAGCTGTGCCTCGAGGAGTGCGACACGGTGCACCAGGTGCTCCAGGTCGCGCTGTGGGCACAGGGTGCCATAGCTGTCTGACTGCCAGCCCTCGTCCTCATCAGTGAGGCTGTGGGGCGGCGATACCGGCACAGTGGGGCACAGTGGGGGCCGCTCGGTGCCCGAGGTGTAGCCACTGGTGACAGAGATGGAGCGGGCACGGCGCTGCAGGCTCTGGATCACCTTGTTGGCATTGAGCAGCTGTGCCTTAAGGTCCTGGATGTGCTGGCGCAGGGCTCCCACATCTGGCTGGGCCACAGCCTTCAGAGCAGCCTTGCCCACCCTGGGCACCCCTGAGCGGCGTGGGAAGCCCAGCTCCTCACCAAGGCTGGGCTCGCTGAACACATCTGGCTCCTCACACTCTGCAGAGGGGACAGTATCACTTCTCTGTGCCAGGTAGGCAAGGCACAAGGACCCCCCAGTACCCCTAGCTCTCCTTACCAGGGCTGGTGGTCTCATCACGGTCAGCTTCAGTCTCACTCCGCCCACATGTCTCATAGCCCAAGTCCTGGAAGTCCACTTGCACGTGCTTGCTGAGCTGCTGGGCATGGGGCTCACCTGCTGGGCATCACCCCACCAGCTCAGGGACCCCCTGCAGGTTGGATACATGCACAGGGCACACCAAGCTGGGCATACATCCCACCCACCCACCCCTCCACTCACGGAGCAGGACGTGGTACTTCTCCAGCTGCTCAGCCTGCACCCGGACCATGGCCTCAGAGGCAGCCAGCTTGTCCTGCAGCTCCTGGCACTGTTTCTGTGCCACCTGCGAGTGCAACTCCACACCCAGCCCTGGCCAGCTTCCACAGGGCACCATGCCCTCCACCTGCCAGAGGGGAGATAGGACTGTGAGCCCCCAGCACTGCTCCATTCCTGTCCCCATCCCAATCCCATGGCAGCAGCACTCACATGGCTTCCATCCCCTCCACCTGGGCTGCTGGGGCACAGTCTCTTGGGTGCATCATCCTGGCAACGTGCCTCTAGTGCAGGGCGCTTGGTGGGCACAGCTCCCCTCTCTGCCAGCAGCCCCTGGCCATCCCCAAGGACACTGCGGCCCTTCCGCTGCATCCTGCAGGGCTCTGGTGATGGAGGGTTGCCCAGCCCAGCCTCCTCTTCCCCACTCTCCAGCAGCGATGTGGCTTCACCCATCCTCTCCTTCAGCTCCGCGTTCTCCAGGCACAGGCTCAGCATCGCCTTCCTGGGGGGCATGTGGTGCTGTGAAGGGCAGGCAGCAGCCAGGACGTGGGGTGCCCCTTGCCCACCCACCAGCTCCCACATCCCAGGCTCTTGCCTGATGTGAGACACGGAGGAGAAGCCTGCTTCCTCCAGCTGCGCCTTCAGCTCCCGCAGCTCCTCTTCTGCCCGTAGCTCCTGCTCTGCCAGGGCAGGGGCTGTGCTCTTCTTCTCAGTGCCTCTGCTTTCCTTAGGAGCCCGGGAGCCAGTCTGGAGGAACAAAGGCAGATGGAGACATTTTCAAAGGGACCGGACAGCAGCACAACACCTGGCTCTACAACCCCTGTTGCCCATGCCATGCTGCCCATGCTTACCTGCTGGGTCACGGTGCCATGAGCCACCTCTTCCTTAGTGCTGGTAAAGTCAGCATCGTCAACCTCTGTCCCTGCAGCCTGACCTAAGAGACAGCAAGGTGCTCAGACCAGTGGCAACAGCAGTGCTGCCACTGTCCACATGTCCCAAGCAATACCACGGCAACACCATGGGCAGCCCTTGGGCAGATGCCTGCTCTTGCACATGCCTGGTGCTGGGGCACTCCAGCAGGACAAAGGACTCTCTTCCATCCCTGTGATCTGTCATTCCCTTCATGATGGAGCTCCCACTCAGCACCACGTGCTGTCACAAGGGAGGGGACCGTCCCAGCAATACAACCCATCCCATCCCATCTCACCCCCCCAGTCACCGCTTCTTCAGCACCTTGAGCTCACTGCATCAACACACATGTGCATGACCCACTTGCTCTGCAATGATATCCTCAGCTACGGCCACCAGCAGCAGCACCTGATGGGCAGGAAGTCTCACTAGCACTGCCCTGAACTACTTCGTGCAACTGCCCACCCAGGGGAGTGCACTGCCCACCCCACCTCAGCATCACTACTAAGCATACCACTGGGTTCTTTGTGCGACATGTACTGGCCTTGCAAAGCTACAGCAAAATCATAAGGTCACTTGTGTCCCATATCCTAGCACACAGAGGCAGGAACACACAGAAATGTGCACAGGGGGCTGGGGGCCATCCTGCCCCACCAATTCAGGCAGTAGGTACACTTTTCTGTTTGTTCCCAGTGCCTTATTGCGTGAGCCCACTCCCTCGCAGTCCTCCCACCCAGTTGCAGGGCCCAGCCTGCTCTACTGGATGGGGATGGTTCAGGGCAGTGATATCCCTCCCCAGGGAGATAAGAGCCTGGACAGTTCGCACAGCCATGCAGAGCCAGGTTCTGCAGCCCCACCAAGACCTGCAGAAGCCACAGCCACTCAGCCTGCAGGCAAACCCATGCTATCAGGGCTGAAGCTCCCATACTGAGGGAGCTGAGCATAGATAAGGGACACAGAGGAGATGTAAAATCTCACAAACGAAGGAGAAACCAGCAGGAAAGCATATAGTTACTAGAACATATAGTTACTAGAACAAGAGCTGAGGACCAGCCAGGAATACACCTTGCAGCAGGGATGCACAGCACCCTGTGTACCCCAGCTCCTGAACAGTGGCACAATCAAGAGACCCATTTGTGAAAAGCAACTGCCAGGAGGTTGCTAAATAAAGAAATAAGCAAACAAGCAAATCAGGAGCGATTCCCAGCCTGGGCAGACAGTGCCCCACGTGGCAGAGTACATTCAACAAGAAGAGGCACTGACAGCCACCCTTAAAGTGGCATCCAGCACAGCCAAAGCACAGCCCTGTGACCCCTCAGGGACACAAAGCCAGCAGATGCCAAGCCACCCAGTGCAGTGCCTGCAGACTTGTGCACAGCGTGGGGACTTGTGCACAGCTCCTGGGCTGCTGGCTGTGCTGGAGCAGGAGGAGCACCTGCACAGGGCTTTACAGGCAGAGAAGCAAGGCAGAGTGGCTCACAGCCAGCATAGATGCCTTAGGGACATGGGAATATCACCTCTGCCAGCACTTGGCACACTGCTCCTCCCTGCAGTTCTCAGCTGAGAGCACAAATCTCAAATGAGGAGAAAAAAAGGGGGGGAAAGGGGAGCGGGGAAAGGGAAGGGAAATAAGAAAGGGAGACACATGCTGACAAAAGCAGAGAAGCACGTGCACCAAGTGTTTGACCACTCCACAGAACCAGGAGCACCCCAGGGTGCAAATTCAGGGCTCCCCAGCACTCCATGTAGCATTTGTAAAGGGGACAAGAGATGCACCCTGAGCTTTGTATGTCAAAGACTCCTGTACTTGAAGGAAAGGTTACTGGCTGCAGGACTTGCCCACAGCATTGGCTGCAGTGGAAATCTTCACATCCTTAGGAACAGGGGGTGAGAAACAAGTCTCCAAAGAGACTGAGAAAGGAAAGACCTCCACAAAAGGTGTGACACAGCACAAAGCACTGCACAGCTCAAAAGGGTGTTCTTAGGCATGGGTTTCTCAAGCTGGTCCTTCTGCAGGGCAGAATAGTGAACAGACAGGAATACAAAGGATAAAGCAAAGCCCTAAGGAACACAGTAGAAAACCTGGGACAACTCTGCTTTAGAGTGATCCCTCTGCATCACTTAACATCAATGATGGTAGCAAGGACAGATCTGCAACAAAACACAAGCACAACAAGACCTGGGAGCTGCCAGGGCACCAGCCGAGGCCAAGAAGCCTGCACTGGGCCCTGGTCTCCAAGAGACAGGCAGGCAGCAGAACCAGGACAAAGGAGGGAAGATGGAAAGATAAGGAAAAGGACTTAAAAGCTTCTACAAAGCGAGTGGCAGAAGGAGAAAGAGATGATCCTACAGAGAGAACTGAGAGGAAGAGAGTGAGATGAAGCAAGAAAAGCAAGGCTAACCAGGTACCAGAGCTGCCCAGCAGCACCAGCTATGACCCCTCAGGCCACACGAGGACAGATGAACTCACCATGCAGTTAGGTGTAGCCCCAGAGGGGTGCTAACCTGCTGCATGTGAAGGGAGAGCTGTCCTGTCTCCTATCCCTGGCTGAGCCAGGGAAGACTTCAGCAGAGGTGCAAGGTATGAGTTGCACATTATGTGAAGCAGTCACAAGGAGATGTACAGCAGAGAGGTTACAGGTCCAGAAGGCAGAGCCCAGCAAGATGGGGCTCTTCTGCTCCACGTTCAGCTTCCCCAGCAAACAGAAAAAGATGTCCAGAAGTACAAATTTTGCTCCTGGCACTTTGGAAAGTGATTTGACATGAGGAAGCCAACTCAAACACTTGGGAAATGCTGGACATTGGAAACATTTCAGTTCTTACACCAGCCCCAATACTCCTAGGAGAGGTGAAAGTTGGCACCACTATGTACAATTTCTAGGACTAGTGCACTTTGTCCCTAGCAAAGCAGAGGAAGGCCTGGTCCAGTGGGCATGTGGAGCCTATGCATGAGATGTGCATGTTACAGACAGGAGCAGACGCAGCCCAGGCTCTTACAGCAGGGAGAAAGCTTTCCTGCAAAGGCACTTACAAGCCAGACTGTGGCAACTTACAATCAGGGGGAAAAACAAATTAAAAAATAAAAAATAATAAAAAAAAAATCAGTGAAATCAATGCTGGAGTAGGATTCGGTTTGAATGTAACAACTAATTGTTGGTTCTACAGTCAAAGAGACTTGTGGAAGAAACCCTATGCAAGTGCCATCAGGTCTTGCAGCCCTTCTCAAATTCTGTCTCTGGAACCCGTATCTCCAAACACTCCTTTCATGCCAGTAGCCATCAACCCAAGAGGGTGATGTCACTGGGTAGAAAAGCAGGGAGGGAATACAAAAATTCACACTCATGCACTTGGGAGATGAGAGAGAACATTTGGTGTTTCCTTCAGAGAAAAGGAATCTTTATTTGGCCCATGGGGTAGGGAAAAGGGAAATGGAAGGAAATCAACTAAAATGGAATGATCTGAATGTGCAAATACATCAGTGGGCACCGGGGTGAGTCAGACAGGAACATACATGAGACACAGGTGAATTGCACTGATCGCCATTTCCAAAGCAGCTCAAAAATAAAACAAAAAACCCTGCACCGGTTCTATCGTACCATTACTAAGTACCAAAGCAACCCTCCCAGAGTCAGTGAGACAGGCTCGCTCTGTTAGTGAACCATTTCCGTGGCAGGCGGGCGAGCGCTAGTGCTCAGAAGGCATGCTGGGGTAGGATTCTCACACGCTCCTGTTCCCCACCTCCTATGGGGCCCTGTGTCTCCAGCCTGCTCAAACGCTCCAAGCTTCTTCCAAGAGCTTCTTCCAGTTGTCCCCGGAGCTCTTGGACCCCTTCCAGCTCCACCTGCAGAGTGCAGTCTCTTGCAGCGCTAAGCAGACACACCACACAAAAAGGAACAGGGTTAGATAGGTGCAGCAAGTGCACACCAAATTGGCTCCTCCATCCAGGACTTCCACTTCCCCCAGGTACAGGCCCTGCACACTCCCATAGGTGGCTCAGACACCTCTTGCCTCCCCAGAGCACAGCCATCCCCAAAAAAGGCTCCAGCCCATGGTAGGGTACCCCTAGTAACAGCTGTTCTTCAGTACTTACCAAAGTACTTCATGTACGTGCTCTCTTGCTGTCAGGTAGCTCAAATATCCCAGAGGCTGCAGCCCCATGAAGGGCAGGGGATTAGCATGGAGGACAAAGAATGCAGTGGTATGCCACTGTCGGACAGCCTCCTAGATAAGAGCCTGGACAGATCTTTATCAACCCAGCAGTTGGTGAGGAATTTGGCAGGGTGAAAACAGCAGCCTCTGAAAGGTAGCCATATGCGGGTGGGAAACTGAGCAGGGAGTGAGTAAGCCAAGGAACAGGGATGGAAATCCCAGGGCTTGAACAAGAGACAGCAATGGGAGGAGGTTATATATCATTTAAAGCTGCCAATGCAATCTCTTTAAGGGAAAAAGGCAGCCTAAGATCTGGACTCCTAAAACAATCATTGCTTCAGGGGTTGCCCCACTGGCCCACACACACAAATCCTGGCAACAAGTAGGGCAGCATGGAGTCAAGGCAGCTTTACTTACCTGTCTGGGTGTGTGTGAAACTTTACCAGGCTACTGTAGAGCTGCCTCTCTGCCTGGAGAGCCTCATTTAGCCGATTCCTCTCAGCCACCAGTCCTTCCAGCATCAGTAACAACTGGTTAAAGGGAACAGACAAGATGTAACACCCAGATAAATCAAAGGAGGCATCTGGCTGCTTGGGGATATAGTGTTTTTCCCTTCCAGATGCACCAACCCCTCTTTTGCTTGTTCTGAAGCAATTGAGTATTGCCAGCCCTGGACACCACTACCCAAAAGTCTATGTTCTTGAGACAAACATCAAAGGGAACCAATGCTTTCTATTCTGTCTATTATATGCAGCCAGCTCTGAAGAACATGCACACCTCAGCATATCCAATAGCTGAGAATAAAGCATTGCAACTGAGCACCAGATAAAACACAAATATATTCAAACTTGCTCTGCAGGACACACTACCTGCTGCCTTCTGTTTCCAGTAGCCTCTTGTCCTCTCGACTCTGCTACGGCCACTTTCTCACGAAGTACCAGCACTTCTTGTGTCAGTCTTTCCACTGCCGGAATTTCTTCAGGATCTACCAGCTGCATCTGCAGATCCTGAAAAGCAAAAGGCAGGAGGGATCTGTGGAGAAGGGATCAATAACAAGGGCAGCTGGAAACTTGTGACCCTCCCTGGAATGCAGTTACCAACATATTCCAGTGTTAGAGAAGACCTGGGTCTCCTAAGAAAGAAATGCCAATGCATCCACATGTATTAACCATAAACAACTGCTTAGAACAAGAATTAAGAAGGAACACAACATCTGTTTAAAGTGCTCAAGAAAGTTGCAAGCAAGGAACAAAAAAGTCTAATAATGACACTCTCAGGATTTGAGGCCCCTAACTTTCGGCTCAAGACAGAGAGATGTTGGCGAACCAAAAGCAAAATGATACACAAACAGCCATGTTACTCTGAAGAGGTTCCTTGCAGTGGTAGAGGTACTTGGTCACAGCTATCACAAGCAGCCTGCAGCTTGGTTTCTGATGTCTTGCCATTCATTGGAAATGAGTGACCATGAAGGACAGGGTGCAGGGAAAGAAGAGACTCCTCTGCAGCCATCTCAGAAGAAAGTGACCCAGCACAGCATGTTATCTCACCTTGATGAGGTCCTCTTTGATCTGGATGGTTCTGGTCAGAGACTCTATATCAGAAGCCTGCACCTGCAGCTCTTCCTCCTGTGTGGTCACAACAGACTGGAGAGCAGCAAGTTCCCGCTAGGTACAAAAGAGGAGTGTGTGAAAAACCTCAGAAAAGTAAAACCGCACTGCAAGCTGCAGTCCATCTCACTGATGCACACTCATGATGGGGGGGGTCCAAAACCTCTATGAGGGGCAGTCCAAGGGTCTCCTGTAGGCAGGAATACCGCCACAGGCTTCAGCACAAACTCACTCTGCTTTCCCTTTCCTTCTTTGCCATTAGCTCCAGCTCCTCTTTGGCATTAGCAAGATCCTTCTCCATTTCTGTCGCTGATGCTGCAATTGTAAGGACAGTTTGATTACTGCAGTGTTACCATGTGTCAGCTGCTCCCTCTGACTGCAAGATTAGACAGAATCCCTCTCTGAAAAGACCAGTCCGCAATGATTACACTCCCCAGCACACTGCCTCTTATTAAACACTCTTCTTCACTTCTTGATTCTTAAACAGCAGCCCAAGATAACAAAAATACTCCAAGTCTCCTGTCTTCACCCTGGCAAAGATGACATGTCCTGGCCTTAGGGCACAACCCAAATCAGTTGCATTATTCTCAACCCTATCTGAACCACAAAGTCAATCCCTTCACTGAACACTACACAACTGCTTGCACTGAAGTTCCTCACTTGAAATCAACCTCTTTCTTTTCCACACACCCACTCCCAAGACATCCATGAACCATCACCCAAAGGAGAGGCACAGCTTTATTTCAAAACACTTGCTCTTGCTCCAAGCTCTTCGTTCTCTAATGGTTTCGTGTAAGTATGCTTGCCCCACAGCAAAAAAAGTCCTGGCCTTGTTTGAGGACCTTGAGAGAAGCTGTTACTCACGTCCTTCTGTCAGGCCGGTGTTGTCCTCCTGTGGGGGTCCAGCAAGGGCTGAAACTCCACAAGCTCTTTGCATTATTTCCTGAAAACACAAAAGCCTCCAGGTTTGCACCTTTACAGGGAACCTCACAGCTTCCCCAGGGCCCTTCAGACTGCAGCAAACCTGCTGGCTACTTTGTCGATGCCTCAAACATGACAAAGCAGTGACAGGAACTAGTCAGACAGTGGGGACAAGACAGTTGCACACAAGATGGAAGCTGTATGTTTGGGCAACAGGGCTCTAGCCTTATTTTATTTGGCAATAAGAGGTTGCTAGCAGCAAACTTCTTTATAGTCAGGATTAAGCAAGTTTCACTCAACTGCAGCAACCACATCTTTCAACTGAGATTCTGCACAGACCTATATCCTCATCCAAAGACCCAGAGGAACTATGGCCCAGAGGAACTATGCAGGTAGGAAAACACAAAGCTTGGCCCAAATATGCATATTGGAAAGTCTCCAGAGCTCATTTTCATCCTGGGAATAGAAGTGAGCCACCTGCTTGCAAACATGTCATCTCACCAATAAACCATTAACAGCTGCTCAAGCAGGAACATGGCTTATGTAGCCTCACAGTTGTGCTCAGCCTCAAAGGGTTTTTTAGCAAAGCTGCTTTAAAAATACCAACCCCAATTGTGGAAGAGACAGTAAACACCCAGCTGGCTCTGCCAAGAATTAGTGAGACCTAAAATTAGCTCCCTTGTCCCTTCCAGTATGTGACAATGTCAGGAGGGGATTACAATACAGTGGCACAGCCCAGCCCAAGGAAGGACTGGGTCAGTGCTGGAAGGTCAGAAGGCGGATTTTTTTCATACTCACTTGTGCTTACTGCCTGATCAAAACAAGAGTGACAATGAGTGACAAAGGCTAGCGGAATCAAGGTCAGAGCATCCAGGCAACATTTCTGCTCCTCAATTTGCTCTGTCACTCCTAAGCCTCTTTCCTAATCCCACTTTCAGTACTACCATTCTCTGTAGCACTCCCCTCTCTCAGTTCCTCCTGTGGCAGTGCACTCCCTCTGGAGCCCCAAGGCCACAAGCAAAACACAGTACATGACTCTTACTTGCACAGGCTGTTGTTTGTCCTGCTTCAGCAGACTGGTACCAGGTGCCTGGATCCCAACAGACTCCTTCCTCAACACATGCTGACGCAAGAGTTGTAACTCGCAATTTCTTTCAGTCAAAGCATGCACCATCTTCTCAGTAGTGGCCTGGTTGAGCAAGAAAAAAAAAATAGAGCTGTGACCTCAGCTTTCTTAGAGATTACAGGAAAATATCTTGATATTTTTCTGTCACTTGATAATATAAGTGTTCTGCAAACAGTCTGGGAGCTACTGCTCCTGGTCACTCAGTGACTCCAGTGCAGCCCTCTCATTTCTGCTTGCCAGATAGCCACAGCCTCTCTACCTATCTACCTACACAGGAACAAGTCCCTCAGTTTCCCTCACCCCTTTCAGAAGAAAAAAAAAAAAAAAAAAGCAAGAGAGACAAGAGGAGAGAGTTTGGCTTTTCAGCCTCCTCTTTTTTATGAAAGGAAACTTGATGTAAAGTATCTAAGTTAACACTGAATTGTATCCAGTGTGCAAGAGCAGGCAGAGCAGGAATTGTGGCATTACATATCCAGGATCCTGCAGCAGTTTGACTGAAGTGTATGTTGCAATGCAATGAGCAGAGTTTTCTCAGAGTTCTGATCTACACCAGGAACAGCTGAATCTTTCCTTCTGGTCTGTAACACAGACCTACACGAGTAGCAACCCCACCCATGGTCCCTCCACTGCCTCAAGACTGAGAACATGGATACCCAGGAGGATCCCCACCTCCTTCCTCATCACACACAAACACTGACAAGCCACTCAGTGACAGGGATCTGACAGCTAAACACTGCTACAAGTGCTCCTATCATTACGTGACCAACCTAAAAGCAGCTTGGTGGTTCTCCAGCACTCAGCAGCTCCAACAGACACCAACAGCGTCAGAGAGCTTCTTCAATATGCATAACATGAGGCAGAATCATCCACCCCAGTGTCCCCACTGCAGCACTGCACACAACTCACTTTGCTCCACTGCTCCTTGGTGCTCATGGCCTGCAGCAGCTCCCGGATTTCAGCATCATGCTCCATAGCTTGACGGTTCCTGTCACTGAGAAGCTCCTGCAGCATTTTTTCCTTACGCTGAAGACGTAAGCACAGCTCCTCTGCTACCTCACTCTGTCCTGGGCCCAGCTTGCACAGCAGAGTTGCCGTGAGCTCCTAAACAAAAGGAGAGAAAGGGAGAGATGGAGAGACACTGCTATGAACTACAATCTGATCAGGGAGAAACAGCTCTTCAGTCCAGATGGAGCCAAGACGACAATGTTTAAGAAAGCACAGGTATTCGCATGTGCTGAAAGCAGCCAGTTTCCAAGGCCCTAGAAACCACTTAGCAATAGACAGCCAAGAAGCTCTGGCCTTGGACCACTCTCTCTGCAGACAACCTCGCTAAATGCTTGAGAGTCTAAGTGAAGGCCTTACCTCCACTTCCTTGTTTCTGTCATGCAGGCAAGTCTGCAGCTGCTGGATGATCCCCTCCTGCTCCTTCTGCCTGCTGCAGGATTTGGCCTCGATCTCCTCCTTGAGCCAGCGGAGATTTTCACAGGTTGCTGACATTTGCTCTAGTTCCAATGTTTTAGCTTTCAAGAGGCTCTCCAGGCTCTAAGGACAAATAGAAGGAGCTCAATCAGGGCAGGGACTTTACCCTGAACAAAGATACATCTCCATCCTTTCCAGGCACCATTTTCACCTCCACATCCAGACCAAAAACACAAGAGTCCCAGGAACCTGCCCAGCACACAGGGACAGAGGAAGCCAACACCCCACAACTGCTCTCCCTGACAAAAGACTGAGCATTCACATGAAGCTTTGCCTTGCTCCACATTGCAGCCAGTCTGGATTTGACACACCCAGGTACAGAGACTCACATGAATGGTGGCCTCATTGCTGGACAGGACGTTGCGCAGCCTCTCCAGGTCACCTCCACGCTCTTTTATTGAGAGACGGAGCTGTTGAAGCTCTTGTTCTTTCTCCTCTAGGGCACAGAACTTCTCATCTACTGCTCTCTAGAATGAGAAGTGCAAAATACTCAGAGTGGGATAGAAAGGCTCTGCAGCTCACTGTTGTGCATGGAACAGCTCAGCTCTCCCTTCCAGAAGGCTTCTCTGGAAGAATGGGCCGTGAGGAACATGGAGGTCAGCATGGGGCTGTAGTGTTGATGGTAACCCAAAGATAAAGCCACATGAAAAACAGGGATGTGTTACTAGCAGGTTGTGCTCACCTCCAGTGCAGCATCCCTGTCACTGACTCTCTGCTGCAGTTTCTCCAGCATGGCATCCATGGCTGCAGAGCTCCTGCCCAAGCTTTGCTGGCATTGCAGAAGTTCCCTTGATTCCTAAAGAAGTAGCACACAACCCAGTACAGCTGTTAGTCCAGAAAACCCCTGAACAGGAGATTGTGTATCTGACTTACTCCCTACATTAATGGGAATTAGAACAGCTGCACCGGGTTAACTAGGGCCTGTCAGGTCTCACCATATTGTGAGCTGAGGTGTTTGGACATCTGTATCAATTTCCTTACCTGGGGAACACAGAAGCATCTTTTTCTTTCCCTTCTTTGATAGATATGTATGAAAGCTACAGACCAGTTTCTGCATCTCCAAATACCAAAGGAGCAGGAGCAGTGGTCCTGGCTAGTTATGCTAAGTTTGAGTCTTTCTGAATCTCACCTGCAGAAGCTGCTCTTTGCGAGCCAGGTGCTGACTCAAACACTGAACTCTCTGTTCTTGGGCCTGCAGCTCACGGCACTTTTCCCATTCCACAGCCTGGATCTGCTGAGCCTTGTCCTGCAGCTCTGCTTGCAGCTGCTGTACCACAGCACGCAGCTCCTGTGAAAGAAAAGCACACACCTTGGCATTCAGTCCCCATCAGACCTTTAAAGAGTAGCTGAATCTGAAGGAACCAAGAACAAGGACTGCCATGAGAGCAGCCAAAAATGCTCTGCAACACCGCAGCTTTCACATCTCAAAATACACTTTCATAGTGAAGTTGGAGTTTATTTTTCTTTCTCAGGAAATCCATCCAAATGCTTTACCCTAACCACAGGCAGAGCTTTACAATCAGTAACAGCTAACCCACTGCAGTGGCAGATGTTAACTTTCTAACACTGCAAAAAGAAACAGGACATTTGTAACAGCTAGAAGCGTACATGCCACAAAACACCCTCTATCACATCTCTGTGGATCCTACATCCCCAGAGAGGAAGCCAAGGAGGCTAAAAATTCTCCATGCCATATTCAAGACAGGGTTAGTCCAGTGTGTCCACATTGGTGTAGGCAGAAGCGATGAATGACAGCAGAGTATTGACCACACTAATGCTTCTTAACTCTTACAACTGAGGAGACTTCCAGGCTAAATGTGCACCATACCTGGTTGTGTTTCCAGGTTGCCTCTTTCTGCTGCTCTTCCTCATGTACCGTGGTCTCTAGGAGCTGAGCAGCCCTCTTGGCTTCAACCAGCTGATGCTCTTTTTGGCGCTGAGCTCTTTTCAATTTTTGTACCTCCAGCTGTGTGCAGAAAAGTGTGTTCTGAAGATCAAGCAGTGCCACTTGCTGCTCCCGAGATGAAGGTGTGCTCTCTGACATCTGACAAGAGAGAGAAACTGAGAAACTGAATATTCACATCACAAGAGGGATTTAAAAACCAAAATCCCTGCAGCACCAAACCAGATGTATTTCAGGCTTTTCCAGGACATACCTGCAACTGCCCCAGCTGGCTTCTGTGTAACATGTCCTGCAGCTTGGCCATTGTCTCATTTTGCCCTTCAATGACATGATACAGTTCTTCTGTCTGTGAATCAAAGGATGGAAAGCACAGTCACTGGCAAGCCAAGCATAAGCCTTTCCATTCCAAGCCTCCAGCATGGACTATGATACATCAGTGCCACACAACACTAAGAGCTTTGCAGGAACTAATTTAATGAGATTTGGGATGCACAGAAATGGCTTAAGCGTTTATTTTCAATCACAGCTAGCTTCCAGTGAGCACCAACCCACCTGCCCTACCCATCCTCTACTATTACCTCACTCTCCTTGCTCTTCAGGGCCTCATTCAGACTCTGAATTGTATGATCTTGTCTCTGCGATGTTTCTCGTGCGGATTTTAATTCATAATTCAATTCATCCAGCTTTTCCTGTAATAACTGAACACAAAAAGATGTTGGTCTAATGCTATATATAAAACACCATTACTCAAATCCACACAGCCCAGGTATTCACCAGATCAAGACAAACAAGCTACCTTCCAAAGCCCTTAAGTGCTGTTTGTGCTGGGTGGAGAGCAGTGAATAAACAAATCTTTCTTTCCTCAATATGACTTTTCCAGTGCTTTTACTCCCTCCAATGCAACTATCACGTGCAGGGTGGAGGTTCCATGTTTGGGTTCACACATCATGCTGCCTCCCACATACACTGGGACAGGCTTGCTCAGGCTGCCCAGGACCCTTCCCAATTCCTAGCATGCATGTTCCCTCATGAAGGAAGAGCTACTTCAGCTCAAACACTTCCCAGTAGATCTGAACAACAACAGAAAAGAAAAACAGAAAACAACAACAACCCACCCCACTTGGAGAAGCTATGCATTCTAAAAACTGTTTATGCTGCTTCTGATATCGCCCACAATACTGCAGCTGCATCTTTACCATCCTCCAGCCCCTCTTCTTGCTGCCTCACTCCATCACCCAGGTACTGTTGCAGCAGCTGCTGGTCTACCGGCCGAGGTGATTGCACATTTGAGCCAACTACTGGATTATCCAGCCTCAAGTTCTGGCTTCAGAACAAAGGAATCTAAGGAGTGCCAGCATGCCAGCAACATGGCTACAGAGGGGAACTTCTCACTAGCTCCAGTCTTTGATTTACAACCTGACACACTTCTGCCTTAGACTTTTTTTTTAACCTAAAGACAGTAACATTATCTGAAATAGTTTTAGGACAGTTCTCTGCTTTCACTAAGTTGTATATGAGCAGTGCAAACTGTTAAGCAACTGCTTATTAGCATTTCTAAACATGTTGCTTGTTGCCATTCTGAGTCGATTTGCATCTGCTTTGGAACTGAATCAAGCCCCAGTTTCATCAGAAGCTGGTGCAGCCACATGATCTCTTCTTGTTATTCATTAGTTTACACACCTGTCATGTTATCTCCACGAGACACTCCCTCTAAACTGCTTAAACACCTCACCTGCATTTACAGAGCCTTGGGCCTGTTCTATTTCTCTGTCAACCTCTGTGGACTGAGCAGATCCAACAGCTTGCAGATGACCACAGATTACAAATAAAGGTTTTGTCACTGTTTTTGTTTGTTTTCTCCCATTTAATCCCTCTGTTTTCCCAGTGGATATAATTTACCTTAGAGTTCAAGAGCATAACCAAGAACATCTACCCTTTGGAACACATTAAATTTGATCTGCTTCAAGACAGCTCAGCTTTCCTAGTAAATAACCCTACAGCCTTAAAAGCTAAGTGAAGATGGGATCCTCCTCTGCATTGATCTCCCTTAAAGCTTGTGGGGAAAAAAAAAAAAAAAGGCAGCAGCTGTCTAAAAAGGCAGGTGTCCTTCTCTCCTGCACCAGGCTCAACTCGTGCAAATCTGAGAGTGAGGGAAATAGTTCTGTTGTACCTCTGCCTCACCAGCTCTCACAAGGCTCACCAGGCAATGGAAAGTTCCTTCAAAACGGTTTGCAAAAATAAAATATGAAAAACTTACACAGCAGAGCTGGAGGAAAAAAGAAAAAGCGAATGCTTTTAACTCAAGCGACAGACAGCAGCACTAAGACAGACAGCAGCACTAAGACAGACAGCAGCACTAAGACAGACAGCAGCACTAAGACAGACAGGCCAGCAGCTCACACACCCTTGGCTGGAGGGGAGTTGAAGGTGTCTGCCTCTGGAGAGGCCTAAGGGCAGCCTTCAATACTAACTACAACAGACTCATTAGGCATTGAATTTGCTGTTTACAAATGAATACCTGGTTGGTAGCTTCAAATTGCTGGATTTTGCTCTGTGGTTCTGTAGCACACAGATCGGCTGTGCACTCCCTCGATGCAGAATCACTTGGAGCTGGCTTTTGATGTTCATCTTGCAGATTCTGGGGGGAAAGAGAAAAAAAAAAAAAAAAAAAAGAGAGAAATGGTTCAAACCTTGCACTGGCTTCTATTCCATTTGGCAGCCCTTGCAGACCTTGCAGTGTGGGCTCAAACGTGCCCCTCAGGGCTTTTGTCTCTCCAAAAAAACACAATGCCCGTGTCTGCCTTCCCTTGGGTGGTGGTTGGCACCTAGTTGCCCTCTGCCTGACTTGGCAGAGGTTCCCTGCTGCCCAAGGCTCTGCTGAGGCTGCCTGTCACTCCTCACTCCCTTACTGTGAACCCAGCAGCATGTCCGTCTCTAACTGCTGTCTGCAGACTGATGACAGACCTGCTCCCCACACCCAAGAGACAACCCTGAAACCTCCCTCCTTCCTGTTTGCCCTGCTAGCAGCTTCAGATGAACAAAGCCAGCACTGAGCTGAACTCTCTCCTATGTTCTGCCAGACTTTGCCCACAACCTTCCATCCTCCCTCCCAATTACTCTCCTGCCAGGAGCAGGCAGTCACCTCCCTGCTCTGAACTCCTCCATTTGTGCTTCGTGGGGCCCTTCCTCACACCTCCCCATGCTCCAGTACTGCAATTCCCTTCAGCCCCACAACCCATAGCAAATTCAGTGCCCTAGCTGAGATTTCACCCATGAGACAAACCCACACACTGAGAATGGGAACAGTGCACTTTCTCCTCTACTTCCCCTTCCCCACATTTTCCTCCTCCTTTACCACAGCCACCTCTTGTCAGAAGCAGCACACTTGCTTTTTTTTTTTTTCCCCTAAATCAGTATTTTAATTGTAAACTTGTCCTCAGTGCCTTCTCTTCAGCTCAGCTCCAGTAATGTCAGCACCCACTAAGTGAAACAAAACACTTCTTTTAAAAACAAGAGCAATAATCCCTGCACTGTCTAAGCCTCACATCTGCACCAAACAGCGGGTAAAAGACTGGCTTTGAGAGCACAATGCTTCCCTGGCTGCCAGCACCACGGGCAGTGTAAGAGCGTGCCTGATGAAGGTTTGGCTCAATGGCATTTCCTTGGAGCTGCAGTAGTGAAGGAGGAGCACTGTTGGTATAAAGAAAAGTGCCCAAGATGATGGTTATCTAAGGGATTACATGCCGTGGACACTAGATTGCAGCAATAAATGTAAAGCAGGACTGCAGTTTCATAAAGCAATAAGGGAATTGTGATCCTATAAAAAATAAAAATAAAAATAAAAAAAAATAGAAGCACTGTTCCCTTATGCCACACCCTGTACTCAAGCCATGTACCGCTTGAGTGAGGTCACAGCATAAAATGGGCAGGACAACACCTAGCAGAGGGGATTCTTGGCAGGGACATCAGAGGGCAGAGGCTGAAACTCCCCAAACCCTTTCCAAGAGGAGGGTGAAAAACCCCACACACATAAGCCATAAGCATGTCACACTGACTGCGCCACGTTCTGTTCATACAGAGCCTGTTTTTATACTGTAAATATACCCTTAGCTATGAACATGAGCAGCCAGCAACACAGCATATAGCAACAGCACCTATACCCTGCTTCACATCTTCATTCACTGGTTGCAAGGGCAACGCTTTTGTGAGGCAGATTAGTTTTTAGTGTCCTACATCCCGCCCTAGCAATTTCTTGAGCTGAGCTTTACGGGAAAAGCACAAAGCTCAGGAAAACGCCTGAGCAGATGGGGCAGTAAGCAGCACCCACAGAATAGGAAGCATAATTGAGCACAGCATCAGTTGCCATAGTAATAAACAAGCTTTTTCCTAATCCCTGAGGCTATCTAGAGAATTAGGCAGCACTAAGGCTGCTAATGCGAATGCAATTAGCCTGACATGGATATTCCTGAATTGAAATTGAGTGGGGCCTTCTATTCATTATAGAAAGTGGTGAAGGAGTTACAAGTTCAGCTTTTTGACTGCACCCTAATGACGATTTCATAAAAGCCAGCAGAACAGAGCAATCCAGAGCTGCATGAGGATCACCACCCACATAGCTAATAGGAGCATTCGCTGCCTTTTTGCAACACCTGCCATTAATGGATGAACCTTTTCAAAGGATCAGAAAATAAACCAATTATCTAGAATACCAACCCTAAAGTCATCCCCTGGCACAAATCCACCTGTAAGGAAAACACCTTTTCCTCAGGGCACGAGCCACAGCTCCCTGCACAGAGCAGCATGCTCAGCTGGTCTGAGACCTGATCTGCAGAGCAGGGTGATGGTGGCAGTGTGACAGGCAGGCTCCTGACATCCACCATTACCAGCACACAAAGAAAACACGTTTGCTGGAAAAAAACATGCCCAGGAGCTTAAAACTTTCCCTTTTGTTGTGGGTAAAAGTCAAATCAGCTTCCTAAAGAGAAAGCTATGAAGTGAAACTGGTATTTTCTCAGCAGAAAATGCGAAAGCTTGCAAAGAGCATAGAGCTTGCTAGCACACTGCGTTCACAGAGAGAGGAGCTTCATTTCCCAGAACACAAAGAGGAAACAGATGACAGGAGAACGACAAGGGAGAGAGAGAGAGCACACCTAAAAAGGACTGAGCTGCCTATTCTTAGCCCTTGGCTCAGCTACACGTGGCTATCTGTGTTATCTCAACACAGAAGAATGCCTAATGGTCCCAAGGGCCGAGCAGCAGGACGCCGCTCAATTCAACGGCTGCACAATGACCTCTACCTGTACCCGCAGTGGCATATAATCCTCACAGAGGTCGTCCCACAGCTCTTGTAGTTCAGGAATCTCCAAGGGAAGACCCAGGGGAGCTCTGGAAAAGGATTTTCTGTCTGCATTCAGGAAACCAGAACCAGCATATGCTAAGCCAGCAGAAGCACTTCCATCTGCCAAGTCACGGCTAAGCTTGGGGGGAGGCAAGTTGGACTTCACAGGAATAGGCAGCCTGCTGCCTCGTGGGCTCTGGATGGGTTTGTAGTCTAACCCCTTGATCAAGCTGAGGGCCAGCTCCAGCCTGTTCCCACTCAGTGATGAGCTAGGGGTCATGCGGTCCTCTGCAAAATCGTCGCATTTCCCGTTCCCCTTCACTCCCTTATCCACATCTTCATCCTTCTGCTGAGGAGCGCTGGCCTCCACTGTTGTGTCCAGGGACTCAACAGAGGACGCAGGCGTGCCCTCTTCCATGCTCTCCCCATCCACAGGCCCTCTGGTGCCAGCAGACTCCGCCGGGTCACATACGGATGACTCCTCGTTGCCCATGCTCACTGACCATCGGCTGGACAGCCCGCAGGAGATGCTCCTGGCCACCTTTCGTGGCACTTTGCAAATCGCTTCATAGTCAGCATCGGCCACACGCAGCGCGGCGCAGCCCCGGCACCGCCGCGGGCGGCTGGCAGCTCCCTCTGAAGCATGGCAGCTGTGAGGCTCCAGGCCGTGCTCGTCTTGGTCCGTCCAGTATTCGTACCCAGAATAAGCAAAGTCCTCCTGAAGGAGGGCAGCGTATCGCGCGTCAGGCAGGTTAGAAAGGTCCACAGTCCCATCTCCGGCTCTCTCATCCACGCCGGGCTCTTCGTTGTTCCTGCGGTACATGCTTGCGATGCAGAACTTGAGGCGGTCCTTCTCCAGCAGCAACTTCTGCAGGCGCTCGATGGAGAGAGCCTCGATGCGCGCGATGACCGTGTCGAACCTGTAGATGCGGTCCAGCATGAAGGCACACTTGCTGCACGCGAACTCGCCTCTGCCATCGCGGCACAGCTCCCTGCCCAGGACGTGGGAGAGCAGCACCTGGAGGTTGAGCTTGGCCGCCGTGTGGAAGATCCATCGCCGCTGGTTGCCGCACAGCTCGCGGGCGCAGATCCGGCAGGTTTCCTTCATCCTCTCTCCCGACGGCGCCCAACCCTCCCGTCGGGGCTTCTCGAGGAGCCCCCCGAGGCCCGCACCGCTCTCAGCGCATCCCCCGGGCACCGCCTCCCTCAGCCCCACAGCGCAGCCCGCCTTCAAAGGGCCACACGCCGGGACTCCCGGCTCTTACACAAACCCGCCACCCCTCGCCTCAGCCCCACCACGCCTGGGCGGCTCCCCTCCTCACAGCCCCCAGCACTGAGGCCGCCCCTCTCCTCACAGCCCCCCTTTTCTCCTCACAGCCCCCACCCTGAGGGCATCCCCTCTCTCCTCACAGCCCTCCGACCCCGGGGCTGCCCCTCACCCCGGGCTGCCCCCCCTGCCCCCGGCCCTGCCGCTCCGCCTCCCCCCCGAGGATGCTCCTGCCACGGCGGCGCCCGGCTTCTGGCTCAGATTTCAAGATGGCGGCGGGCGACAGCTCGGCGCTTACGCGACGGTCGCGGTGCCTGCCGGGATTTGTAGTCCTTCCGCCCGGAGGGCGCGCATGCGCAGTGCCTGCTGTGGGCGCGCAGGTAGGGCACAGCGCAGTGCCATCCGCAGCTGCAGTGCGGTGCTGCTCTCAGCCCCAGCGCCAGCAGCGCCTGCCTCCAGTATGGTTCCCTGTGTCCTCTCCCGGTCCCACAGTGGACCACGTGCAGGTGGCTCACGCGCTGTCACATGGGCCACCATAGGGCAGATGGGCGCAGGCAGCTGCAGGGCCCCAGGGTGCTCTGCCCACAGCCCAGCGTCCCCAGCACCACACTGCAGCACCAATCCCCAACACTGCAGGGTGGGGACAGCTCCAGCTGTGCCCCACCGACAGCCGCACGCAGCCCCCAGTGCCACACCCACCTGCCCTGCCTCAGCCTTGTCCCGCTGCTGCAGGTCACAGCTCTCAGCTGGCAGCATCTCCTCCATACGGCCCAGCTCCTCCATCCTCCTGCATGCAGAGAACAGCGAGGGATGCTCAGCCCTGGGGTGGCACTGCTGAACCTGGCCGGGGTAGCACCCAGCGCACACCCACCTCTGGGCCGCAGTGTCATAGCCATCTCCGCTCCCGCTGTCCCCCTTTGTCCTCGTCGCCTCTTTCAGCTTGGCCACCAGCTCCTGGCACCGCTGTGCCTCGGCTTTGGCCAGTGCGGTGGCCTGCTCTGCCTCGCTGCGGGCCAGCCTGGCCTCCTGCACGGCACACATCGCTGAGTCCTGTGTGGCCCCACTCCCCCCGACCCCACCACAGCCTGCTGCTCACCTCCTGCAGGAGCTGGATCTTGTTCTCCAGCAGTTCGTACACATGTTCCGACTCCCGCTGCCGCTCCTCATACTGCTGCCGGAGCGCGGCCTCGCTGCGGTTTGTCTGGTTCTCTGCAGCCACCCTGTCAGGCATGGCATGGCACAGCGTCATGGCATGGCACAGCATCACATGGCATGGCACAGTGTCATGGAATGGCACAGCATCATGGCATGCACAGCATCATATGGCATGGCACAGCATCATGGCATGGCACAGCACCACATGGCATGGCACAGCATCACATGGATGGCACAGCATCATGGCATGGCACAGCATCACATGGCATGGCACAGCATCACATGGCATGGCACAGCATCACACCACACGGCACAGCATCACACCGCACAGCACCGTGGCATGGCACAATGTCAGATGGCACAGCACAGCATCACACTGCACGGCACAGCATCACACCGCACGGCACAGCACTGTGGCATGGCACAATGTCACATGGCACAGCACAGCATGATGGCTCAGCACAGCATCATGGCACAGCACAGCATCACATGGCATGGCACAGTGTCACACAGCATGGCACAATGTCGCATGGCATGGCACAGCAACATGGCACGCACAGCAGGGCCCAGTCCAGTGCTCACCCTCCCCCAGCAGACAGGTGCTGCCCTTTATTTTTGGCCGGTGTCAGGGCTGTAAGCAGAGCCCCACTAGCCATCCCTCTGTGCCTGTCCCAGCGCTCACCAGGTTTTGTCCAGTGCCTGCTGCTTCTCCTGCAGCTCCCGTTTCAGGCTCTCCACCTCCACCTTCAGCTCGATGTTCTGCAGAGCAGGAAGGACGGAGCTGGCACTGTGCACACACACCCCAAGGCCCTACACCACACCCAGGCCCCACACAGCACCCAGACCTCACACTGCTCCCTGTGCCCATTGAAAGCAGTGGGGGAGCACACCCCTTGCCCCACAGCAGGGTGCTGGGTGCTTTTTGTCCCCATACTGAGCTGGGGACGCCCGCTGTCAGCAGGGACCCATCCACCCAGCACAGCTGTTGCAGCAGTTAGATTGTTTATCATGCTGGCTCCCTGCTGCTGATTTTAGGGGATAGACATGGGGTGTCCCTCATTCCAGGACACAGACATGGGGTGTCCCCCCTGTGTGATGAAGCACGGACACGGGGTGAACCCCACATGACGAGGCACAGGCATGGGGTGTCCATCATGTAACGGGGCACAGGGGTCTCTACCACCAGCAGAGCAGATCCTGTTCTCCCCATCCCATTTCCCTGCTCCGGTCAAAAGCAGTGAGAGGCAAATTCCCCCCAGCTCCACTACTCACTGGGATCCCTGACCCACAGTGACAGCTGTGTGCCCCCATCCCCAAAAGGACAGCATTGGAGTGATATCCCATCCGGCAGCACCTGCCCCATCCCCGTCCCCACGGGCGCGCTCACCCGCCGGTAGACATCGTCCCGGCTGCCCTCTCCCTTCTGCTGCACGCGCTCCTCCAGGAAGTAAATGCGGAGTTTGAGGCTGAAGTTCTCCTTCTTGAGGTCGTTGAGGTGCTGGGACAGCGTGCGGTACCCGTTAGCCATGGCTGGTGCTCCATGGGGGGGGCATCCCGGCACCCCTCACATGGCGGCACCGAGCCCACGGCTCCCTGCCCGCCCGCAGCTCTGGGACGGGTGCCCTCGCCAAGGCCCCTTTCCTATTTTTTCCCCTCCCGGTGCTATTTGTGGGGACAGACAAGTGGTGAAACCCGAGCCCCGGGTGGCCCCCGGACGTCAGCCAGGAGGGCGGTGAGGGGGAGCGCGGTGCCCCACGGGGACGGCACCGGCAATCCCATCCCCTCCTGGGGCCAACAGACGCGTCCCGCGAGCACCCCCCGGCCCCGGCGGCGGTCACCTTCTCGAAGTCCCGCAGGGTCTGCATCTGGGCGAGGGGACCCTCCTCTGAGTCCCTCAGGGGACACGTTTGCACCGCGGGGCTGGGATGGGGCTGAGAAGTTGGGGGGTGCAGAGTGCCCCCCGGTTCGGGGTCTTCGTCGCAGTCACCCCACAGCCCTTCCATTGGGGTGTCCCCGTGGGACGTGGTGTCCCTTCCTGTCAGGGGGCTGACTGTGGGGACGTCACTGTGGCTGGGGTCCCTGTGGAGAGGAGCGCAGCCCCGTGTTACACAGGGATCCTTGGGGGGGAATTTCACCCATTTGCTGTATGGCACAACAGTTTTGGAGAGGCAGAGATCTGATCAAACCAAATGTCACACCAAAGCATGGGTGTGCACAGGGGCAACATGCATGCGCACGGGTGCTGGCGCACATGGGACACGTCCACTCACAGTGCCCAGGGGGCCATGCAGATGGTGGTGCCCACTTGGGAGCACTTTAGCCCCATTAGCAGCCCTGACCCCCCCCCAGCAGGCAGCAGGGACACCTGAGCCCCCAAATAACCCCCCTCTATGTTCTCCCTGAGGGTTGGGGAGGAGAGCTGGGGGGGCCATGCTGGGTGCTCAGGGACAGCTGCTCCCCTCCTGCTCACAGCCCCCCCAGCAGCCCCAGGCACAGTGTGCCCCCGCTGCCTGCCTGATTGCAGCTCACCCACTGGTAACAGCAGCCGCCATCAGGTTTATTTTCAGCATGGAAGTGTGAGTCATTTCAGGATTGGGAAAAACAGATTTTTTTTTTCCTTAAAACAAAATAATCTGGGTGGGGTTTTTTGTTTGTTTGTTTGTTTGTATGTTTTTTTTTTTTCTGACTCCGAAGTTTTTTGGTGGAGTTCCCTAGAAGGCAGTGGACCCCCATGGGCACAGTGCTCTGCCCTTAACCTGGCAGCAACCACGTGGTGCCAAGGCCCTTGCAGCAGCCACCTGCAAGGAGGGGACAGTTGAGTGCAATGAACCAAGGGGGTAAGGCATGGTGCCCAAAGCCCACCATACCCAAAGGCATGGTGGCCAGAGCCACAATATCCAAGGAAGCATGATACCCAGAAGCATGACACCCGAGGAGACCCAGTGCCCAGAAGCAATACGGCCAAGGAGGCACAATATTTGGAGACACAATAGCAGAGAAGGCAAGAACCTGGAGGTAAAACATTCAAGGAGACACAATGCCCAGAGTCAAGGCACAACAAGACACACCATACCCAAGGAAGCACAGGATCCAGAGGCTCAGTATCCAAAAGCACAATACTCAGGAAAGCAAAATACCGAAGACCAAAGAGACACGGTACCCAGAAACACACACTAAGACACAGCATCCAAAAATGCACCATACCCAAAAGCCTGGTGTCCAGCAGGCATGACGCCCATGGCACCGTGCCCAAGCAGACACCATACCCAATGAGGTGCAGAACCCAGCAGCGTGGCACACGTGGGTGACAACAAGACATGACTGTGCCCCACGGCTCCACAGCTCTGCTGGCACGAGGGTTACCACACGGCCCTGACTCACAGCACCCACTGACTCACAGCACTGAGCAACAGCTTGGGGCCACCACAGCCACCCTGACACCGAGACCAGCCCTGCGGTGTCACCAAGGTGAGGGCAGAGGGCAGCAGCCGTGGCCCCGTGGGAGAGCATCCCCCGGGTGCCCACCACCGCAATGAACCGGGGACTCACCTCCTGCTGCTGGATCAGCTCCTACGGGTGGGCAGATGCAGAATGGATGGATGGCTGCCCGCAGCCCCGCGTGCACACCCGGCAAGGCCAGGTGGGGCCGGGTTGCAGAACGTGGCACAGCTCTGCCCGCTGCCTCGTGGCAGGGATGTCTCAACGAGGCCACCGTGGGAGGTGGGGCCGGTGCTGTGTGTGCCTGTGGCTGCGTGCAGCTATCCGCCTGCGGTCACGGCCCAGCACAAGGCCCCCATTGAGCGCAGCGGGACGGGGGGAGCGGGGCCGGCGGTACCCAGACTGCTGGGCGGGACGGCTCCTGGTGCGGAGCAGGCACGGGCTGAGGCTGGATGTGGGGACGGGCACGAGATGGAAGAGCAGAGAGGATGCAAGAGCCGGGGGAGATGTGGCCAGCTCCACTCCCGCACCACCTCCCCAACCTCGGCCTTCCTGCAGGGACACCGGCAATCCCCACCCTGCGTGCCGGGGTCAGCTCCGGCTCGGCCTCGCAGCGCCGGACGGCCCCGTCCCATCGCGTGGCGGAGAACTCGCTGGTCCCCACGGCATGCGCCGGCACCGTGCGTCCCTGTGACGCGCCGGCTCAGACCCGCCGTGATGCGCTTTCGGATGGACAGCGCCGGCACCACGCAGCCCCGGGGCAGCAAACCGCATCCCGGCCCCGAGATTCTCCACTCGCGGCCCCACGCGTGTCCCGGTCCCTCATCACCCTCGCATCCCCCGCGTACCTCCCTCACCGCCGCTCACCTCCGCCGCGGGGCTCGCATCCTCCCGTCCGCCTCCGGGCTGCACCGCGCCGGGCCCCGCCGCACCGGGCGCACCGGGGGGCTCCGCGGGCAATGCCGGGCCGCCCCAGCGTGCGCCGGGGAGGCGGCTCTGCGGCACCGGGCGACTCCGCCCGCCGCTGCATCCCTCCTCCTCCGCCTCCTCTTCCTCGTCCCTGCCTCCATCCTTCCCTCCCGCTCCATCCCTCCCTCCCTCCGTCAGCCGTCTCCATCTCCCGGTGCCTCTGCCAGAAGCTACCCGATCTCCTGCCCTCAAAGCACCTTTGCCCTTTCTCTGCCACTCCTATCCTAACCTAAGGACCCCCTGGGGCATCCCTAATTCCCTTCCCTGGTACCACACCTGCCCTCTCCCCACTGTCCCAGTGCCCCTCACCATGCAGGAACCCCCCATTGCTCTCCTCCATCCCACATCCATGGCAGCCACCTTCTTCGTGCCTCCATGCAGAGCTCACCCAGGACCCCAGCAGTGGGATTTAGCAGTAGGGGTACCAACCTCCTATAGCTCCCGGACCCCATTCGGGTCGTGGTCCAGTTGCCACCAACGTCACCAAGAGGTGCCATATTAGAGCTTCCCACCAATCCAAGGGTCTGTTATATCTGTTATATGGGACATGGGGACTGCATTTGGATCTCTTCATGAGGCCGTGGGGGCATACCAATGGGTACCTTCATGCTGCTCCCCATGTCCCTGCAAGGGCTGCGGGGTGTAACTCCTGCTCTGCTCCCCAGGAGAGGGCACCAACTGCTTGGGGAAAGCTGCACGCATTGCACTGCGGTGGTGCCTTGGTCACACATGGCCTCGAGTGATAGCATGGGACAGGGTCTGCAGAGGCTGGGCTCAGCAAAGGGCCCCCACCTGCTGCAAGTGGTGTTTCCCTGCTTGTTCCCACAGATGCGGGGGGGACGCAAGGTGTGGGAGTCACCAGAAAGTGACACTCAGCTGGTGCTGTCCCAGACTTGGCAGGCACCTTGAGCTCAATCTTAATGGTTAATAGGGGCCAGGGCCAGGCGTGGAGCTGTGCCAAGGCACTGGAGTGGGGCTGGGGAGCCGTGTCCACACATCCTGCCCTGAATACCCCCAGCATATGCTGTGCATGGGGAAACCATGCCCCGGCAATGGGTCTGCAGCCCCTCCAAGGGGCAGCACGGGGCCCTGCTGCGGGATGTCTCCAACCCCAGCCTTGACCCCACCTCTCGTCCCATGCCAACTGCCCCGGACTTTCCTCCCTTTGGCGTCACGGTTGTTCCCTGGCTGCAGCTGTGGTGGGGCGTGCATGGTGCCGGGGTGCACACAGCCTGCAGTGAGTGTGCCCTACACTGGTCACATCCTGAGGTGGTGTCTCCATGACAAAGGGGACACCCTCTGTTCCTCCCTATCCGCTGTGCCACGTTCCCATACTGTCCCCTCTAGGGCCAACGCTTTCCCCACGAGGTCACCTGCGCAGCCACCTGGCTCCCACCCCATGGAGGGCGTTTGCTGGGTGTCTCCCGTGCACTCCGTGCAATTGGGAGCCGGTGACGGGGCTGGCCCCGTGCCCCCAGCGCTTATCGGCGCATTGCTCAATGGTGGGCGCAGTGCTGGGGCAGTGCGGCGGTTTGCCACCACCTCCCTGTGGTGGGGAAACTGAGGCACGGCAGTGGAGTGGGTGGTACGTGGGTTGTGGGGGTGCTCGATGCTTTGGGGGCCCTGTTGGGCTCCCCACTCCGTCATCACAGCTGCTGAGGGTGAGGGGCTGGGGGGGGTCTAAGGGGGATGGGATCCTGGGCTCGCAGCCACCCAGCGGCGATGGGGAGAGGAGGGAAAAGAGGTGGGATTATGGAAATAGGATCCAATGAGACAAGAGCGCAGCCCGCAAAACGTGCCCCACCGGCAGCCCATTTAGTGCGGCGGGCAGCACTCAGCAACCTCTTTGGCCGGAGCTGTGCGGACAGACAGTGGACACGGACCCCCGACAGCCCCAACAGCCCAACGCCAAGCGATGGCCTTTGCCAAGCTGCAGAAAGTGCTGATCAGCGACAGCCTGGACCCCTGCTGCAGGGACATCCTGCAGGCGGGGGGCATCCAGGTGCTGGAGAAGCCGGGGCTGAGCAAAGAGGAGCTGCTGCAGGAGATCCGGGTGAGTAAGCTGGGGTCTGCGTGCGGCTCAGAGCCCTGGGCCGGTAGCAACGGGTGGGCATAGGTGGGTGCCAAGCGGGCACCATGTCTCTCTGTCCCTGTGGGATGAGTGGATACACCGCAAGCACAGGGTGGGGACATCAAGGAACATTGCAGAACGGTAGGAGGCTGGAAGCCCCCTCACCCAGCAGGTCACGTCCCCGCCTCCTGTGTCTGATGCAAGAATCCTGGTTGCTTTCACACTGCTGATCCCAGCCCCAGGCCCGCGGCTCTTCCCACCCCACCACCCACCCTGCCTGCCATCCCCACGGCCCAGCCCTGACCGATGTGTGGTGTCTGTCCCTGCAGGACTGTGATGGGCTCATTGTCCGCTCGGCCACCAAAGTCAGTGCCGATGTGCTGGAGGCGGCGGGCAGGCTGCAGGTGGTGGGCAGAGCAGGCACCGGTGTTGACAATGTGGACGTGGAGGCAGCCACCAGGAAGGGAGTGCTGGTGATGAAGTAAGAGTGGGACCTGCAGCCAGAAAGGAGACATCCTGCTGGCACGGGGCTGGGGGGTCAGCACGGTGCCCAGCCTCCCCGTGGGTCTCTATCCTTATGGGGAGGTCACATGGTGACCCCACTCCTTGTCCCCAGCACACCCACTGGGAACAGCCTCAGTGCTGCAGAGCTCACCTGCGGCATGATCCTGTGCTTGGCCAGGTGAGTGCAGGGCTGTACGGGGTGGGGTATCCATCCCTGTGTAGGCCCCCAGCCCTGCACAGATTGTGCCTCCCTTTTGCAGGCAGATCCCACAGGCAGCTGCCTCTATGAAAGAAGGCAAATGGGACAGAAAGAAGGTACGGGGCAGGTGCAGTGCCTGGGCGGGTGGGTGCTGGGTGGCCCTTGCTTGCTCACCTCTCTCCTCGCCCCCCAGTACATGGGCATGGAGCTAAATGGGAAGACACTGGGCGTGCTGGGGCTGGGCCGCATCGGCAGGGAGGTGGCCACGCGGATGCAGGCTTTTGGCATGAAGGTGAGCAGCAGGGCAAGGGGCAGTGGTGGGGAACAGGCTGGGTACAGCTGTGAGCCCCCGCTCTGCCCCAGACCATCGGCTACGACCCCATCATCACCCCTGAGGCCTCAGCTGCGTTCGGCGTGGAGCAGCTCCCGCTGGAGCAGATCTGGCCCCGCTGTGACTTCATCACGGTGCACACACCACTGCTGCCCTCCACTACGGGTAGGGCAGTCTGGGAGTCTGGGGGTGCTCTGGGGCCGCCCCCGTATTCCCATCCCTGATGGTGCTCCCTGCAGGGCTGCTGAATGACAGCACCTTCGCCAAGTGCCGCCGTGGTGTGCAGGTGGTGAACTGTGCCCGGGGTGGCATCGTGGATGAAGGAGCACTGCTGCGGGCATTGCGCTCAGGGCAGTGCGGAGGGGCCGCCCTCGATGTCTTCACACAGGTGAGAGAGATCCCCCTGGGGCCATCACCCAAATTGGGCCAGGGCGGCCCCCCTGGATGGGCACGGGGCTGAAGCCGGGGCCGTGTGCAGGAACCCCCGAAGGACCGGGACTTGGTGGACCACCCCAACGTCATCTGCTGCCCACACCTGGGTGCCAGCACCCGGGAGGCGCAGAGTCGCTGTGGCAAGGAGATTGCCATGCAGATAGTGGACATGGCCGTTGGAAAGGGGCTGGTTGGCGTGGTGAGTCCCCTAGTGCACCTCAGAGACCCCACGTGTGATAGATCCCCACTGCTCACCCCGCTTCTCCTCTCAGGTCAATGGACAGGCGCTGAGCAAAGCCTTTGCGCCCCAGACCAAACCCTGGATCGCCCTGGCCAGGGTGCTGGGCACAGTGCTGCATGGCCTGGCCAAGCAAGCGACGGGCAATGTGCAGGTTTGCACCCTAGGTGAGAGGTGGGCAGGTGTGCTCCAGCACAGGGACTCAAGGGGACGCGCTGGGTCAGAAGGCAGGAGGTGGTTGGGTGATGGGATGAAGGATGGGAGGCGTGGGATGGATGGGATAGTGGGAATACAGATGGACATGAGCTGATCGCAGTACTGATCCCAGGGGCCGCCCTGAAGGATGCCAGCAGCTACCTGGCACCTGCTGTGGTCTCAGGCATGCTGGCTGGAGGAAAGAAGGAGGCGACCCTGGTGAATGCCATGCTGCTGGCCCAGGAGGCTGGCCTGAAGGTACACAGAGTGCCACACGTCAGCCCAATGCCACCACATCCTATCCTTCCTTGGTATAAGCCCACAGGGCACTGTGCCCTCAGGGGACATCCCTGTAGGATGCAGGTGCTGAGTGGCCATCTCCCCCCACCAGGTCACAGCCTCCCATGGTGACACATGCCCTGAGCCCGAGGGCTTGCTGCAGGTGGCCTTGCAGGGCACCCCACACCGGGTGACAGGAACAGTGCAGGGCAGCACTCCGGTGCTGCGGGAGCTCAACGGGGTCACCTTCAAGCAGCCGGCACCACTGGTGGGCCCTCTCCTTATCTACAGAGCCAAAGCATCTGAGACAAACACACTGCCCACACTTGCTGGTAAGCTCCTGGTGTCACCACAAGCAAGGGAACAGTCTGAGGAATCTCCACAATCAGCCTGGAGTCAAAATGGGAACAATGCTGACAGGGCATTGTGTGCAGAGACAGGAGGGGTGGTTTGGTTACCAGGCTGGGAAATGGGTAATGCAGTGGCACTGGCTGCCCAGGGGGTGGGGTGACCGTCCCTGGAGGTGTTCAAGAACCACGGAATTGTGGCAGTGAGGGACATGGTGGGGGTGGGCTGGGGTTGGACTTGGGGGTCTGAGAGGTCTTTGCAACCATAATGATTCCACAGTTGTATGACTTGGGGCAAAGGAAAGGAAGAACATCATGGAGGGGATTCAGGGTAGGCACGTGGGGTTCATGCACCAGGGAACAGGCTGCAGCTCTGACCTCTTTCCTCCTGCCCAGGGTTGCTGGGGAAAACAGGGATCCAGCTCCAGTCCTACCACAGCTCCAGTGCGGCAGCAGGGGAGCAGTGGAGCGTGGCCGGGCTCTCAGCCCCGCTGTCTGACCTCGCTGGCCTGAAGCCATGCACTACAGAAGTCTTCCAGCTCCACCTGTAGCGCCCTCCCTCCCCCCACCAGGGTGGACCTGGAGCCTCCAGCACCTGGGGGAGCATTGTGCTCAATAAAGCATCCGGAAATAAGCGTGCTGTGCCTTGTCCATGCATCCCTGCCTTGTGGTGTTCTTCCTACCCATCCCTAAACCCTTCTCAATGATGTCCCTCATACCCAACTCCACACCATTCCCTGCAGATTCTGTCCTTCCTGGCTCCATCCCCAGTGCCGCCCCCATCACCCTCTAGCACTGTTTGCTCAAGGGTGCAAAGGTCTCTCAGGCTCTGCTGCCCTGCTGAAGTCCCCTCTGGCCACAGCCTGGGAAGTGCTCCAAGATGGGCTGAGCCTCCTGCAAGCCCACGTCACCCCACTTCCACCCATGGAAGCTATTCCCCGGGGATGTTGGCAATTGCGTATTGCCACCTGTGTTGGATCCAAAGCATTAGGCACCCTGGCTATACATGCCATTCTCCTCAGGCACGTGTGGTGTACAGGGATACATCTCACCTGGCACAGAGGTGATTCAGGATGGGTTTAGGGGCAGGAGGGAAATACATGGCACTGGGTAATATTGGCTGCTTTACAATAGGGAGCCATAGCTGGGGCATTGCCCTTGCATCCGTGCTTTATTCCCCACGCTGCCTGTGTTTTCGCAGAAAACACTGCTTGCTCCGGGAACAGGATGGCTGCATTCACCCCCGTGCCTGCACGTCCCCCCGATGGCTGCCCCCCTCTGTGCCCTACACGGGCTTCCTGGCGTACTGCCGGCGGTACTTGTCGTCCACCCGCTCCAAGTACCAGGTGCCGGGGAACAGGTCTGCCTGGGAGCCGTGCGGAGTGTGGTTGGCTGCGGGGAGAGGACGTGAGGCTCAGTGGGGCAGCCGGACCCCAGCAGTGGGGTGCCCCCCAGCCCTGCTCACCCAGGTGATGGGTCTCCTCGCGCAGCTTCATGATATCGGCGAAGTCCTGTGGAGCCACGCGCTTGCGGGCGTCCAGGCGGGCGGGCAGATCAGCCAGGCTGGAGAGCAGCTTGTCCAGGGGGGAGCCTGGTGTGAGGAGACCATGGATGAGACACCAAACCCATCTGTACCCTCCCGGCTCTCGGTCCCCGTGATGTGGGACTCACCTGGGGCAGCATCCTGTGAAACACGGAGGGAGAACATGCTGGCGGCCAGCCCTGAGCCATAGGAGAAGGCACCGATCCTGGAGCCGGCCAGGTCCTGAGCCGAGCACCTGTGGCCATTTGGGGCGAGGAATTAGGGGAGATATAGGGCTAGATAGACCTCAGCCAGGAGGGCCCTGGTACGCTGGGCCAGATTAAATTGCAACCACTGCAGGAGGAGATAAGGGAGGCTGTGCTGCAGGGGACAGCAAGCAGGGAACAGTTTGGCACAGCAGGGGCTGGGCGGGTCTCTGCCCCCACCACGTCTGCTGTACCAGGCACCACAGCCATGCACGGGGCAGCAAGTGGCTCAAGGACGGGCTGACGGACACAGCAGTCGCACCACCCTCGTGCCTGGCTGTTCCCATGGCTCCTTCCCAACCAGCAGTGGGGGACGGCCATTCTCTGGGCATGAAAAGGAGTTTTTTTTATCCCACAGCGCTGACAGAAGGGCTTTATGCACTCCAGCAAAGGCGGCATGGAAACACTGGCTGGGGGACAGCACCGGGCTGAATGAAGTGAAAGCTGGGCCATTCCCAAAATGGCGTCCTCCATAATAACATCCCACCAAAATAGCAAACCCTCAAACGGCGACCCTCAAAATGGAGCCCCTTCCCCATCAAAATGGCGACCCCAAAATGGCGCCCCCTCAAAATGGCGCCCCCCTGCTGCCAGCACTGCGGACTCACTGAGCCAGGAGCGAGGCCAGGCAGCCGTACATGGATGGCGTGTACATGTTGCCATTGCGGGAGGAGAGCAGCAGGGAGGGCTTGGTCTTCTGGTTGAAGATCTCCTGGCTGGCCGTCTGGAAGGCCTTCTCCACCTCCTTGCTGGTGTAGGTGTCCTCCAGCTTCATGCCGCTGCATGGAGAGAGGCGGGCTGTAAACACGTGTGGGAGGCGAGCAGAGGCGTCCTCACCACACCGAGGGACGCCCACCGGAAGGGCTGCAGCCCCTTGTAGAGTCCAGCAGCCGTGTCAGGGCTGGGGGCGGCCAGGAAGTCGTTCAGCAGCAGCCGCCCCACTGACTTCTGCACCAGCTTGCAGAAGGGCGTGTGGAAGATGATGAACTTGAAGTCATCAAGGGTGAAAGGCCGCTGGATACCAGCTGGAAGGCAGAGCAGGAATGTCAGTTGCCATGGGGTGGGATGTGTGGCCATCCGAGCGCCGCAGCGTCACCCCTCACCCTGCTGCCACTGGCTCTCTGCCTTCCTGCGGTACACGGCATAGCAGCGGTCCAGGGCCCGCAGGTAGCACTGGATGGAGAGGGGGCCGTCCACCACTGGGTACTCTGAAGACAGGTCGGGCTTGTAGAAGTCGTAGGCGTGCTCCATGTGCGTTCCCCGCAAGCCTGGGGACACAGGGGAGAGCTGTGTGTTGGGGGCCTGCTCATGGTTCCTAACCACCACGTCAACCCCACCTTTGGCCCAGTCACAGCCAGCCAGATCCCCATGGAGCACTGACCTCTCTCCAGCACCAGAGGGGCGTTGGGTCCCACCAGCATAGCAATGGCACCGGCACCACCCGTGGGCCGCGCATTCCCCGTTGCGTAGACAGCAATGTCCCCACACACCACCACGGCATAGCGTCCTGCGAGAGGACAGCGGGGATGACAGGAGGTAGGACATCCCCATCCGTCCTGCGGTCCCAGTACAGCCCACCACTCACATCCCCCTCCCCATCCCTTGGCCTATGTGGGTGAGAAAGAAAGGTGGTGGGATGACAGTAGGGGAGCATCCTTCCCCCACCCCACACTCAGGCACCCCCCAGCCCCATGCCCACCGTCCCAGGCACTGGACTCGATCCAGGAGGCTGCGTTGAAGAGCGAGGCTGTGCCGCCATAGCAGGCGTTGGTGGTGTCAATGCCTTCCACATCCGTGTTGCCTGACTCGCGGAAGAGCTCCATGAGGACGGTCTTGACGGCCTTGGACTTGTCGATGACGGTCTCAGTGCCCACCTCCAGGCGGCCGATAGCATCCCAGGAGAGCTGCCCGCGCTCCACCAGCCTCTGCACCACGGTCAGGCACAGCGAGTTGATGTCCTCGTGGGCAGCGCAGAAGCCCATCTGCTGCTGGCCCAGGCCACGCGTGTACTTGCCAGCCTCCACACCGTCGTAGCGCTCCAGTTCAGACTGCTCCACATATTGTGCAGGGAAATACACCTCCAGTGCCAGGATGCCCACGTCCTTGGGCCACGTGCCTGTGCCGGCCACCGCTGCAGTGCTGGAGAGGCTGCGAGGCAGAGGGAGCAGCAGGGGTCCCGTGCTGGGCACCGCTGAGGCTGTCTGCGCCCCACAAGAGCGCCCCACAAGAGCGCCCCGCTCCCTGCCCCCACAGAGCCCCCGTTCCCCAGCAAGCCTCCAGCTGACCACCAGCCCACCGAAGCCCCCAGGCTCGGTCCCACCCCACGGCTGGGCGCTCACCATGCCTGCTGCATGGCTGCAGGGTGTACCCGTGCCGGCCCCCGCCTCGCCCCCCAGCACCGTGCAGCGCGGCTGACCAAGCGCAGCATCTTCAGCCCAGATGGACGGACAGAGAGACAGACACAGGGACTGGCTTGGTGTGCAGCTTTTATCAACTGCGGCCCCCCCAGCCCTTATCAGCACATTGGGCACTAGTGCTCAAAGGTCAGCGAGCAGCAGCCAACGCGACAGGGACAGTGCAGCAAGTGCTGGATTTGGAGGGCACAACAAGTGAGATGGCTGCGACTGGTTTCCCAGCATTTTGGGATGCGTGGAGCCAGGGCTGAGCATTGGGGTGGGCTCAGTGCCACTAGGTGACGGCTCAGTGCTGAGCTTTGGGGTGATGGTGACCGCAGAGCCTTCCGTCACTGTGCTGTGTGACCTCCCCCAGGACAGAGCAGAGAGTGTTCAGAGCCACCCATGCCACCTGGGACATGTCATTCTCCACGTATGGCTGCTCCGGGGGACAAACGCGAGCTGGATGGAGGCACAGCCATCTCCAAAACAGCAGAGCAAACAGACACGTGATGCACAGAGCCACACTGAAATGACACAACGAGGGACCTTTGGCCCCGATTGCTGATGTCAACACAGCCCCTCAGAGCTGTGGGTTCATGGGAACCACTCCCATCTCCCAGGTCTCCAGGCAGGGACCCCTCATCACGCATCACCATCCCTCCATGCCTGCCCTAGCTCTGCAGCTCCTGGGGCCTGTCCCCAAACCCTCCTTTCCCCACAGATCTCCACATCCACCGGCAGCAGGCAGAGCAGCAGGGGACTTTGCACAGGACGCACACCATGCTCACATGCTTCTCTGTTTATAGGTGTATTTTTGAGAGATAGAGGGACGAGCACGGAGGTGGGGCGGGAAGAGCATGGGGGCATGGGCCCTGCTCATTGCAAGGGCATGAACTTGCAGATGAAGTGGTGCTGTCGTTCACAGTCGGCACTGGACCACACGGTGAAACCTATGGGAGAGATGTGCCACGGGGTCAGCATGGAGGGGGCAGCAGTTCCCAGGTCCCCTCTGCCCAGAGGGGTCCCATAGGAGGGAGAAGGAAGCACGTGGACTGTGGGCACTCACTGCTGCTCCAGGTCAGCAGGGCACAGCTTCCTCCTCGGGCACCATTCCCAGGAAGCGTTGGGAGGTCATCGTACTTCTCTCCGTGGGTCCAGCGCCAGTCCCGGCTCTGAGCAGGACACAGGGTCAGCAGCCCAGCCCCACTGCCCCCAGCCCCACTGGTACTCCCCACCCCTCACCTGCCGCAGGTAGTGCAGGCCCAGCCAGACGGGCTGCGTGCGCTGGTAGTACATGATGACCTGGCTCAGCGTGGCTGCTTCCTTGGGCTCCTCCACCCAGGCCAGGTGGGCTCCAGAGTAGCTGTTCTGGCAATGTTCCTGCAGGGAGATGCGGAGCATTGCAGGACCCCAGCACACCCAGAGCTGTGGGCAGCCAGCTGCACACCCTGACCACCTTTACCTCTGCCTCCTCCCAGGTGCGGCGCTGGGGGAAATACCTGAAGCAGTTCAGCTTGTAGTAGGACCAGCCCTCGGGGCAGCTCAGCAGGTACCGGGCTCCTGGCAGAGGCGGGGATACATGGACAGGGATTCAGCCCCATGCCCCCACCCCAAGCCAGGAGCGTTCCCCCGGGACTCACCGACCACCTGCAGGAGCACCATGCAGCACAGCAGCAGAAGGGCACACCTGGCTGCCATCATCCTTCTCTCTTCAGCAGGCAACCCCTGTAAGATCCCATGGTGTCAACAGGTGCCTTAGGCAGGGCTCGGAGTCCCTGGGCAGACCCAGCCCCGCCACTGCCAGCAGTGCTTTGGGGGATGGTACAGCCACCTGCATGGGCGGGGGACCCATGGCTTGTGCTGCCCAGGGCAGCAGCAGTGATGACATGAGCAGCCAGGGCTGCTAAGGCCATGAGGCCTCTGTGCATCACTGTTCCTCCTGCTTGCATCCATGCCAGGCTGGGGAGGCAACCGGCTGCCTCAGCGCAGCTCCCCTTTATGTGCGCTAATCACCAGTGCTGGGGATCATTTGCAGACTCAGCTTATCTTCCCCTCCAAGAGACAGCAACAAAAGTTGGCTTGAAGACCACAAGGCTACAGCGTGCCCTGTGCCATAAAGGCAGCTCTCATCCCCCTGAGCACCCCGAGGCTGTGCTTGGTGGCAGCCCCATTCTCACCTGGCACACGGAGATGGGAAGAATAACGGCCCCTCAAGTCCACAGGGCAGGAGGAGCTGCCCTATATAGCCCCATGCTCACTCGAGTCACTATTTGCACAGCTCAGGTGATTGCCATCATAAAAATCTTAAGGCTCATTGCCCACATCCCCCGACCCAGCTGGAAACCCGCCTAGATCTCAGCTCTGTTTGCATTCAGCATTTCTCCAGAGAAGACAGGAAGGACCTCTCCTAGTTGGTCAATAAACCCCCTGCAATTAGCATTAATTATCAGAGCAAACAGAGCAGCCTATACGCAAAACCCAGCCTTGCACCTGCCGGGTGCCCATCTGGAATAGCACGGGGTGGCAGGGACAAGCCTCGGGGAGGCCGCCCGCGGGCAGCATGATGGATGGGATGGGGCGGGATGGGACGGGATAGGATGGCAGCCAGCGAGGCCCGCACCCTTCCCAGCTCGCAGTGCGTCAGCCCCGCACCGCCCTTGTTTGATCTGCCCGGGCACCTTTCCGGCAGGATGCGGGGACAGCCTGCGGCTGGGGGCCATCAGATAGCGGGCAGGTGGCCGTCCCCACACCCTGCACTGACGCAGGCTCTGCTGGTCCATGTCCATCAGCTCCCACTGAGGAGCTTCGCGCCACCACGCTGGAGCCACGCTCCCCACTGCAGGGCTCTCCCACGGCTCCCAAAGCACTACGGAGGCTCAGCCTGGCGTGTGCAGGCAGGCCTGGCTCTGTGGGCCTGGAAAGAGGGCACTGCTTATGAACAAGCATGAAAATACCCCCAAAGGAGCCTGAGGCTCCCACAGTTCTCCTTTCATTCAGTGATGCCTGCCCGGCTGGTTCCTGCAGGCCTGTTTGGAAGCGGCAGGACAGGTTCCCACAACCTGCTCCTCACACTGCACGCAGGGGACGAGGCAGGTCTCAGCCTGAGCCCCCAAATGTGGGGCAACCTGTGGGAGGGAGGTGAGCTGCTGGATGCTCCTACTGGTTGAGCTGGCTCTGCTGGAAGAGAAAGGAGCTACAGAGTTTAATATTCAAACAGTGAAAATGCCTCCCAGCAGCTTTGTTATCCCTCCTGGGCATCATAATTCAGCGAGCAGCTCCACCCAGAGCCCACAGCTGAAAACCCGCCAGGGGAGCACACACTAAGCTTAAGATGCAGGAGCAGCTCTCTGTTCAAAACACAGGAATGGAGCCACCAACAATTTGTTCTCTAATTGCTCAAGTCTGAAATTTTCCAGATCTGAAAATGCTCCTCCCCATCCACCCCAAAGCACGCACACAGCTGCTGAGCCCCTTCTCAGCACACAGAGGCCCCAGGTCCCTTCTGCTAAAGGGAGCTATGCAGTGGGGTTTGCACGCTGCCGAGCCATGGCAAAGAGCACTCAGCCTCAAAAAACTCTCCCCCAACCTGGTCCTAATGAGCCCACCCTCATCAGGGCTCTGAGAGCCACCCCACACCAGGAATGCCTCACTAATCCCATCTTTGTAATCCAGTGGTTGTGTCACAGCAGCCAAGAGGGCGAATGAAAACAGCAGCACGCAGACGCCGGGCACGTACTTTTTATTCTGGGGATAAAAATTGCTTATACAATTTGCAGCAACTATTTTCATAAAAGACTTTTATAAAAAAAATGTAAAAATAAGCAAATATTTTCCATTATTAATATAGGAAAATGCTGCTGTGTGAATGGTTGCTCTACAACTTACGAGTTAAAATACCACCTTAAGGAGATATTATCTTTACAAGTAGTTAAAAAAAAAAAAAAAAAAGGCAGAGGGCCATCATATTAACACACCAGGCACAAAACTGGCTTCATTCCACAGAAAGCACTCATCTTGTAAATGGTAGCCACATACATAAAAAAAGGCACTTGGTTATTTGGGGCCAGCAGGCCCTTTGTTCTTTAGCACGGATGTAGCAACACTTCATTAAGCACAGTGAAACGTGTACCTCAACAGATCCCTGGGAGCGCTGGGCCCTGCCGGACATCTGAGTCAGCTGCAGCAGAACTTCACAGTGCACACTGTGCCAGTGCGACGGGAACGCTGTGCACGTCGGGAAAAGGAACTTCAGAATAAAAACTTCAGCCCAAACATGGCCCCGGGAACATGCTCTGCCAGAGGCCCTGCCTTCATGTACCATTGAGTGGAATGGAAAGAAGAAAAAGCTTTACGCTGGATTAGAATGGAAAGAAAGGTGGGAGAAATACTGTACATGGTAGGATGCTCAGACAGGAGCGGCCACCTCCGGCCTTTGGCGATAGCCGCCAGCTCCGGATCTCTTTGGAACACGTGTCTGCAGGGCTCCCCTGAAGAGGTAGAAGCAAACCACCCCAGGAATGTACGCTGCTACTTCTGCCTGGCTTACAGCCCTTCAGGGAAGTGTTGGCTTGCAGACAAGGGAGAAGTGGTGGTGTCCCACTGAGGTCAGCTGCTTCCCTAACTCCAAAAAACACGGGAGAGCTGTGGTACCAATGCCATGGCTGTCCCATGGAGGAAACTGTGATGCAGGCTGAAGCTGAGGACAGAGGACAGCCCCAAACCCAAGAACCAAACTGCATTACAGAGCTGTTTGTGAGCAACTTGCTCCATTGCTGGCCCAGCTCCTGCTACAGCTGCCAGAAGGCTGCTTGGGACTCAGTGCAGCAGCTTCCCGTTGCTAGGGCAGGACAAGGCAGTGTTGTCACAGGACTGGAGCAGAAAAAACACTGCAGAAGGGCCAGACGCCATTCCTGTCACACAGGGACAACACAGCAGACATATAATGATGTCCTTAATATTGCTCAATAACACCCCAGCGAGGCAGCATACAGCGTCTGTGGGACAGGAGACAGCAACCCTCGGGTGGAGGGGAGGGAGTGCTGTGCAAGAACGTTGGAAGCTGATGTATTAGGTCTTGAGGTGCTTCTGCTAATCCCAAGAGCTTCCCAGCAGGCCTGTATTACTTGCAGGCATCTCTTCCAATCCGGGAGCACGTGAAGACTGTCACAGACACACCTGGCACAACTGGGGGTCATGTGTCACCATGGTCAGGTGTGTCTCAAGGAAGACATACAACTTGGGAGAGATGCACCTGCAGGCTGCTGCAGGGGGAAGATGGGTCAGACCAGCGTTTTCAGGAGGAAAATTAAAAAAAAATAAAAAGGCTTAAGAGAAGACTATATGTATATATATAACCTCGGAATACCTTGGGGGCAGGCAGTGAGAATGGTAAGGGGTATTAGTGGGTTCATATAAGAAAAAGGTTCTCACAGAGTGAGGTGAAGCTGCGTGAGAGAAGGTGGTGGCTGCAGTCACTCAGGCTGCAGCTGGCCTGGAGAGTCTGGCTTGCTTGCTGAGCAGGGTGAGCCACAGGATGGAAGGCTCTTGGAATGTGGGTGCAGCTCTGAGCTGTGTCAAAACAAGGCAGCTTGAACTCAAGGAGAACTAGTAGAAGGTGCTTCAGAGAGAGATTATGTAGGTAACAAAACTAGTAACAAAATAAGGATACAAAGCTGGTTTTGGCTAAATTTCGGGAGAAACAACCATGAGATGCATTAAGCTGAAGAGCTGTCTCCCCAGATACACGGTGGAACACATTTAAAAGCAGACTGGAGAATCCAGTGCAGACAGCAATCGCACCCAAGGTGGATGGCAGTTGGTTAGAAGTGATCCAGCTGGTCTTCTCCATCACCAGCTTCTACAGTTCTCTGCTTAGAAAAGCATAAAAGCCTACAGCAACCACAGTCCCTCCGATGAAAGAAAATCCTGGGCTCATTAAGACTCTTGGATACTAAAATGGTTCTTCATTTCCATCCTGGAAGACCTTCATGAGTTCTGACGTCCACTTTAGTCGGGCTCCACTTTGGCCAGCCTTCAGGCGTACACCTGCATGTTGTTCCTCTGCTGCTCTGGCATGTGAGCGGCCGCCGGCCCACGCTGGTTGTTACCAGGACTGGTTGCCACGTCAGACCAGTCAGAAGCAGAGTGCGGGGAGGAGCTTGACCACTGGTCTGGAGATTCAGGCGATGGAGTCAGGTATGGGTGCTCCCCTTGTAAGTGCCGGTTGTGGCTAGGAGTCCGTTCTGTGGCCGAGGAGTAACAGCTGTGCTGCGACGGAGGCGTGGGGTACTTCCCCATCGAGCTCTGGAACTGGTGGTAAGCTGGGAGGATTGTCTGAGGCACCTGCCCGTCCTGCTGAGGGATGGCAGCCATGGAGAACGAGGCGCTGGGCAGCTGAGCTAAATCTGATATCTGGTACATGGAGCTAAGAGGGCCAGCCATGTTCTGAGCGCAGTTGGACTGGGCCTGCTGTGGCAGTGCTTGCTGGTTTATGCCACCCTTGGGAACAAGCTGGAAAGTCATGATAGGGGGCAGAGACTCCCTGGACACTCCCAGATGCTTCGTATCTGCTTGAACCAAACCACTCTGCTGAGAAACACTGGGGTGTGAATGCATGACCGGCGGCACCATGCCGAACATCTCGTTGTACTGGGACTCATTCATCTCCATGCGATTCATCCACTCGGTGGAAACGTTGGCTGGCCGGAGCCTGCCAAGCCCGCTGTTTGGAGGGGTCGTTCTGTGCTGTGAGAGCAGCTGGCTGACCGATGGGAGCACGGTGCTGGAGCCACGGCCTAAGGGCTGCATCTCGTGGAGGTTGGAGAAGGACATGCTGTGTGCAGCCTGCACCGACGGAGCGGTCAGCAGCGAGCTGGGTGATGAGTGTAACACTCCTGGCGATGGCATCACAGGAGACGACGTTGGTTCGGATGCAAAAGCATGGGGAGATTCCAGGGAGTCAACTGGTGACAGGGTTACCGAGCTCTCTGAAAACTGCCCTTTGCTCTCACTGAGGGACTTCTTCCTTCTCCTCTTCGCATCTTTGGTGAGATTTGTGGGCATGATGCCTTTGGCATTCGGTTTTCGTGTCTTCTTGCTCAACGAAGCGTGCTTCAGATTGAGAAAGGATCTATTTGGGCCACAAATGACTGGGGAGAGGGCAGAGTTCAGCATGGCCCCGGGGTGCCCAGTGGGGCTGTGTGCTACATTATACTCATTTAGAAGCTGCACGATGTCGTGGTGCATCCGGTCCTGGGCCACATCTCGGGGCAGACGATCCATGTGGTCTGTGATGTCTCGGTTGGCAAAATGGTCCAGCAAGATTTTGGCTGCTTCAAAACTGCCTTCCCGAGCGGCAAGGAAGAGTGGTGTCTCCTCCTGAAAATGCAAATAAGGATTTTAGTGGCATTATCATGAGGGCGACCAACTTATACCCAGTGCTCTCCTATGGGTGTGGCAAAAACAGGAAGCATGCTCTAATGTACTGTCTCATTAACTGCCTCCAAAAACAACCCACCCTGGGTTAAACCATCAGGAAGGGATAAATGCACACCAAATCATCTTATTAGGAAAAGCACTGTTCTGCCATGAGTCTTTCAAGGAGCTGTAAAAGCATCTGGTGCATTTCTTCCATTGATCCCCATAAAGAAAAAGTACAAAGGCCCAGAACTGTCCAGTAAAGAACTGGAGCTTGACAGTAGCCCTAAAATCCACTGACCAACATATACAAAACAGAATCCTTACAGAGGAAAAAGTCAAGGATTAAGATGCAGCAAATACTAACAGCAGTAAAGTTACCGGAGGCCTGCAGAGCATGGACTGGTTCTCACACAGCAGAGTTTCTGCACTATGTCCTCCCTGCACTGTGGTCTCCGATAACAAGATGGGATGTGCCACCAGATCTGATTCTCAGCTAACCAGAACCTAGCTGCTTTACACCAGCAGCATTCCACTTTGGTGCTCTCACACACTAATTCTGTACTGCATTCCTTTTCTGCAATGACAGCAGAACAGCACCGATCCCAGAACACAGCCAAACGAGAAAGAGAACTGCTCTCCCAAACCAAAAGTTCTGCAGGACGTTCAGTTTTTGAGGAGAATTAGAGTCACAGACTGGTTTTGGAAGACCTGCACTGAGCACTAGGTTAGAAAATCTGAGTTTAGTTTACTTCCAACAGCAACAAGATGCTTTGAGTTTGGAAGAATAGCCGTGCTAAGCACACCCAAACCATACCTTGTTGTCCTGCATGTCTCTGTTGGCTCCATTTTTCAGTAGCACTAGTGTTGCTTCTACATTGTTGACAGCAGCAGCCCAGTGAAGAGCAGATTTACCTGCAGAGAAACCCAACAGATTCAGACACAAATCAATTAACTACTGTTTAAAAACCCAACATGGACAGAATACATTGAGCAGTACAGTTCACATATGTGAACATATCCTGTTTACACTTTGGAAATCCTAATGTTGTGACATTTCCCTGCATCACCAAAACGCAATGGGACTTTCAGCACTTTGGTTTGCTTTTAATTTTTCAATAACCTGTCCAGAGAACCACGTCTGTATTACAGAAAATCCCAGCATATTCAACCCTACATTTCTCCTGCTTCTCTTCCAGAACTGTTTAACCAAGGCACTTCCCAGCAGCCTGCAGTCTATTACTGCTGGCAGGATGTCCACAGGAGTGCCTGGTGTCCCATTCAGCTACAGAACTTGAGCATTCCCAGTTCTGGGAGATCAGAAGCCCACACCTCCCAGCTTGCACCATGACAAATGTTTGTAGCCCAGAACATGTCCACATTACCATGGTCATCTACAGCATTCACATCTGCT